GAGGGACAGAGAGCCAGAAACATCAATGAGAGAGAAACACCAGCTGCCTCCTGCACACCCCCCACCAGGGACGTGCCCACAACCAATATACATGCCCTTGACCGGAACCGAATCTGGGACCCTTCAGTCCACAGACTGATGCTCTATCCACTGAGCCAAACTGGTTACGGCTATGAAGTCAGTTCTGTGTGAACAAAAGGATGGAGGGAGGGGCAGGGAAGATTCTCATAAAGAAAACCAAGCGAGGAGGATGGATGCTGACTGTGCAACCCACGTCATCAACCCCAGGAGAGATCCTTTATCATCTCGAAGACTCCCTGCTCTCCAGGCCTGCTTCCCCTTCTTTCCCAGCACAGCTGGGCTCTGTCGTCCAACTTCCTTTGCAGTAGGCGTGGCCACGTGACCAAATCCTAACCAATGGAATTTGAGAGGAAAGGATGTCCTAGCCGGCTGGACCGTTTCACGTGGGTATTGCCGCCCTCCATGCTCTCTGTCCTTGGGCTGGGAGGATGCAGATGAGTCTGGTGACCTAGGGACCATGCTGGAGATGGCAGAGCCACCAAACAGAAGGAGTGTGGGTCTCAGTATCGCCAACAACACTGAGCACTGCCAAGCCGAGCACCTGCTTTGGACTTTCCGTGACCGAGAAATAAACTTCTATGACGCTCAGGTCCTTACGTATTTTGGGGGTGACTGTTACGGCAGCTGGCTTACCCTAACTCATGAACAGGTGAGGCTCGGAGGGGTGGGTGCCATGCCTTGCCCAAGGCCACACATCCTGTAAGGGGCTGAGCCCAGATTCAAAGCGAGGTCTGACCCTAGTCACAACCCTGTGGCAGCAAAAGACAGAAGCGAGTTTGAACGGTAACAAATAAAGGCAGGTCTATGGAAAGACGCTGAACTGAGGCCTCTGGAATCTGGGGGAGCCGGGGGCAGAAGTAGAGGCTCTTGAGGAACTCGAGTGCCATTAGGGAGTCTCTGTGTCTCTCTTTCTCGCTCTGACACCACATGGTATCTTGTCTCAATTTGTTTCACAGAACTTGGTTTTCCTCCCTGCCCTCCCACGGCTATATTTCAGATGATGTTAACTCGAGCGTTCTAACGCTGCTCTCAGCACCCATGGTCCTCCGATATCATCCCTGGCTCACTGCTGGAACTCTCAAGAGAGAGTGAGGTTGGCTCTGCTCGCCTGCCTCTGGCTGAGGACTCTTGGGTCAGGGCCCTCCCTGTCCACTCGGCTGGGACAGGGGGGTTCCACTGGCAGCTCAGGCTCCTCCCAGCCTTCTCTCTTCAGCCCCAAACACAGCTGCCCTAAGACACCTCCGGCTAGAGTCCCCCTCACCCCTCACACTCCGCGTGGCCCCCAGGTCACTCCTTGACTCTTCTCACCTCAACCTGCTGCTTGCCCACCTCAGGGCTATCCCCCTCCTCTTCCCACTATGGAAGCCAGAAATTCAAGAGCTGGCTGTGACTCCTTATGTTCTCTCATCTCTGAATCTAATCCAGTTCCAAGTCTTATCCATTGCATCCCCACTGGGCCTTGGTCTAGACCTCATTTTTCTTTGGAACTATTTTGGGGTTCTTTCAGTCTGTTATCCCCTTAAATTTCTTCCCCACACCAACTTCCAGCAGGAAGCCTTTCTTTAAAAAATATATATATCCTATCTAATAAAGGCCTAATATGCTAAGTGTCTGGTTAGCCATTCAACCAATCAAAGTGTAATATGCTAATGATTTGCTAAGGCAGCTCAACCACTCGCTATGAAGTGCATTAACCACCAGGGGTTGACTGGTTGACCAGTTGCTATGATGTGCACTGACCATCAGAGGGTAGATGCTCCGACTGGTAGGTTAACTTGCTGCTGGGGTCCAGCCAATCAGGACTGAGTGAGATGGCCTGAGTGAGGGAGCCCTCCTGCTATCCCTCTCCAGCTGGCCAATCTCCAGAATCCCTCCCCGGCCCTGGTCCTGCACCATTGGGGTCCCTTGATCCGGCCTTCACTCTCTTGCAATCTGGGTTGAGGCCCCCCCTCTCCTGAGTGCACGAATTTCATGCACTGAGCCTCTAGTAGGTATAGACACACACACATGCATATATATGCATGTGTGTGTGTGTATACATATTAGAGCCCAGTGCATGAAATATATATGCATAAATATTTATATATATATATTGATTTGTGTATATATATATATATATATATATATATATATAGATATATTGATTTCAGAGAGGAAGGGAGAAGGAGAGAGAGATAGAAACATTAATGATGACAGAGAATCATTGATCAGCTGCCTCCTATACGCTCCACACTGGGGATCAAGTCCACAACCTGGGTGTTCCCTGACCGGGAATTGAACCGTGACCTCCTGGTTCATAGGTCGATGCTCAACCACTGAGCCATGCCAGCCGGGCCAGGAAGCTTCTCTTTAAGGCAAATCTGACCCCATCTCTTCATTACTCAGAAAGCCTTCAGTACAAAATCCAGGCTACGATAGAGCAATCAAGTTCTCAGTGCCCTAGCCCTGCCTCTCTGATCTGCTCCTGATCCTGTGCTCATGCTCCTTATGATCCAGCAGTGCTGAGGAACTGAATCACAGTCCCTGGCACATAGCTGAGGTTTCCCACTTTCGACTCAGGCTGCTTTTTCTGCCTACAACCCCTTCATCTTCCTGTGTCCAAATCTTTCCAGGGAAGAGCTGTGCCCCCATGCTCTACCCTGGGCCCCTCAGGTGAGGTGCCCTAGGTCAGAGAGAGGGTAAGTTTCACCACCACCTGTTCTGTGAGGAAGTTGGAAAGAGCTGGGACGGGGTTTCAAGCCTGCAGCCCTCTGTATATGGCAGTGGGGAGGGGGAAGGATAGAATGCCCTTTGGACAGCATGTCCGGGGCCGTGTCATACTGGCCACCAACTATGTGTCCAAGTACAGAGAGAGGCCACCAGCAACCAGACAGGTAGCTTGAGTGTGACATGACCGTGTGTGATTCTGTGGAGCTTGGAAGCATGCCCAGACGTCGTCATGAAGGCAGCCAAGCAGGTGGGCATGCTGACAGGTGTGTGAGCCTGCCAGGTGGGGGCTACCGTTTGCCCTGCGTGTGGTGGTTTGGAGGCAGAGTGGGATGGAGTGGGGTGGGGTGGGGTGGGCCGGAGAAAGGGAACGTAGGCTAGCCTGCCAGAGCAAACAGGCAGCCGACCGGCCCTACCTTCTAGCACACACCCTCACACCTGGGCGTAGGGTATATGGGAAAGGCTTAGGGTTAAGGTTCCTGGGCCGGCCAAGGGGCTTCGGCCTAGGATGTGTCTGGAGGAGGGGCATTGGGCTCCCACCTGCTTGAATTTCCTGGGACAGAGACTCTGGTGGGAGCTACAGGGCCCTGTCCTCACCCAGCCCTGGCTAACAGTTTTTCCTGGCAACTGAGGAACGCAGGTGGGGCTGTCTGAAGGGACTGAGTGGGGAGAGAAGAAAGGGACAGGGGGGAAATGACAGGGATATTGGACTCGAGATCTAACATGTCAGGCTGGAAGGAGCCTCAGCCAAAAAAACCAGCATTCCCCTACCTCCCAGGCGCAGGCCGACACCCAGTGGGGCCCTGGGAGTCAGTCTGGGTGACCCCTCCAAGGCAGAGCGAAAGGCCGGGTCATTCTGTCCACCAGCCCCATCCCATGGAGTGTCTGTGCTCAAGGAGGAGGGGCCAAGGGGACACAGTGAGCCCTGCAGCCCTGGCCTGCAAGGAGGAGGTCAGAATCAGGGCACACATGGCTGGGCAGTCAGCAACAGGGCCAGGCTGGTGCGTGTGTGTGGGAGGAGGGGAGAGGGGGGAGGTGTGTATGTGGTGTGCATGAAGTATGTGTTATGTGTGTGTCTTATGTGTGTGCATGAGGTGTGTGAGGTGTGTGCATATTGTGTGTGTATGTATGTTGTGCATGTGTGGTGTGTGTATGTGGTGTGTGTAGTTGCTGTGTCGGGGAAGGCTTTCTGGCTGCAGAGGCACTGAAGGGTTTGGGTTTTGAACAGCTGGCCGGGTGGGCTCAGTCCTGGAATCTCTGACCCCGTGCGGCCAGGGCGGACAGCAGAGGCCAGCTGGTGGGGTAAGACGGCCCCTGGGTGAGGGCTGGGTCTCTCACCCTGGAGGGGTGCCAAGCAGACCGTTCTCTGCTTCCCTGACCTGCAGCCCCAGACCTAGGAGCTCAGGGGCACGGGAGGTCCTGCCGGCCCGGCTCTCCCGGCCAGAAGCCTCCACCCGGCCTCAGCTCTCCAGGGAGCCCCACCCACCCGCAGCCACATTTCCTGCTGGGGTGAGGGTGCGTGTCTGGGGTGACAAGACTGGTCTGCATTCTCATGTACTGGCTCATTGTTAGAGGTCTGCTTGGAGGGGGACCCGCCAATCACTGGACGTTCGGAGAAGGGGAAAGCACAAACATCAAGGAGGAGACCTGCTTGTTCTCGGCCTCTGGGTTTCCTCCAGACCTGCCTGCAGAGCTCGGGGGTGGGGGAGTGGGGGGAGGGAACCCCTCATAGGACAACTCCATTTGGCAACCTCCCAGGGCCCAGAGGACTCAGAGCCCCGTGCTCCGAAGCCCACCGGCGTTTGGCCCTTTGGAGGCGCCCTGAGCCCTACGACTTGGGCCAGGGTCCCTCAGGCCACGCTCGGGGCGCTCTGTTCCCTCTTCTGCGGAATGGGCGGGCGGCGGCCTGGGCGCCCCTGGGCGCCGCGGGGGCGGGGCGCGGGCTCGGCGGGCGGCCGGAAGGGGTGTCAGTGCGGGGGCGGGCCCCGCGCCGCCCCGCCCCGGGAGGGAGGCAGCCCAGCCCCGGGCGCAGCATCCTGGCGCGGCCTCGGCGGCCGCTGTCACTGCCGTCGGGGAAGGTCCCGGCGCGGACATGGCCCTTCGCGGCGGCCGCCCGGGCCGCAGCCGCCGCTGCTCCGCGCAGTAGCCCCGCAGCCCCGCACCGAGGCCGCCTCGACTGAGCCCGCGGCGCGGACGGCGGGCGGGCGGGCGGCATGGAGGCGGCGCACCTGCTCCCGGCCGCCGACGTGCTGCGCCGCTTCTCGGTGACGGCGGAGGGCGGCCTGAGCCCCGCGCAGGTGACCAGCGCGCGGGAGCGCTACGGCCCCAACGGTGAGCGCGGGCCGGGGCCGGGGCCGGGGGGCCGGGGCCGGGGCAGCCTAGGTCTCCCCAGCCCCGCGGCGGCCGCGGGGGGCCCCCACCCCACCCCACCCCACCCCCAGTCTCGGCCCCCGCGGGCGGGCAGGAAGCGAGGGCTCCGGAAACCCCTGCAGATGTTCTTGGGGCGCCCGGCGGGGCTGCGAGGCCACCTTCGCGGCGGGTTCCGGGTCTGGAGCCCGGACGCCAGGCTCCCCTCCCTCCGCGTCCCCCTCCCTGCAGCCCCGGACCCGCACCGTCCTCCACGCCAGCCCCCAGCCCCATGCGCTCCTGCACGCTCACCCCGCCGGCCGCCAGCGACGGTCCCGCGCGGCAGGGCACCCCCCCACCGCCACCCATAGTGCAGGTGCACCCCCAGACCGGGGCGAGGGGCCCGCGGGGACTCAGCCTGCCGCCGCCCAGCGTCCCCAGGGCCCCCTCCGAGGGCTCCATAAAGTGCCCAGAGGGTGCAGCATGTCAGCTGGCGGCCGCGGGGCCCCCGCCCCCACGCCACCCCCACCCCCACCCCCACACCCAGGTCTTCCTCTTTCTGCACCCGAGGCGGATGTGGCTGGCGGGAGCCGGTGGGGGCTTTGAACTGCCGAGGCGAGACCCTCCCCCTGAGGGTGGCAGGTTCAAGTCCTCACTTCAGGGAGCTGCCTGGAGCCTTTCACGCCTCGGGGACCCCAAGGCGGGGACCCCAAGCCGTGAGGCCCATCGCTGGGCAGGGAGGGAGCCTTCCCCTGTTGCTGTCTGCAGGGGGGTGGGCGTGGGGGAAGAGGTATCATTTCTTCCTCATCTTCAAAGCAATGTGGGGTTCTCCATCTACCCCAAGGCACAGCAAGTGCCAGGGATGGTGTGCCCCCGCCCTCGGAGGCCTGGGTACAGGTGGCAGGTGCTTGCCGGGCAGGGCTGTGCACACCTTCCCCGCAGGCTGCTGGAGGCCCATGTGGACATGGCCCCGACCCCAAAGCTCATGCTGGAGCCCCTCAGGGCTTGGGGCTCGCCCTCCGGGGTTCCCTTGCCCTCCCGGGACTCCCCTCGCCCTCCTGGGGTTCCCAGGCGGCCAGAGGGGAAGGCGCCCCGGCCTGAGTGCCTCGCTGCTCCCAACTGGCTGCAGATTAAGAAGAGCTGTCAGGAAGGGAGCTGGGGGTTTTGTATTGGTTTATAAAAACCACCTCTTACATAAATATTATCTTTCTGGAGCAGAAATCCTTTTTCAAAAAAATTAGTTGCTATATTTAGTGGCGCTGTGGGAGGAACTGGGGAGATAAATATTATTTAATGCCCCCATTAGTGACTTGGCAGGGAGGGTGTCGGCTGCCGCGGGACGGAGGGCGGCAGGGCCTGTTTCCCGACCCTGGGGTCGGGGTGGAGGTGGAGTCGGGGTAGAGGTGGGGTCGGGGTGGAGGTGGAGGCGGAGGTGGGGTCCGGGGGTCCACAGCCTCTTCTGTGCCGCTGTGGCCCCCCGAGAGCGAGTCCCGAGTCCCAGGGGAAACTGGAGACCCAGCCCTTGGTTCTGCCTCCAGAGTCGCACAGATTCTGTCCGGTGGGACCCTGGCCGCTACCCCTCTCCTTTCTGACCCCATGGCTTTGTCGGCAGAGGAGGGTGTGCACTGGGGGCAGGGGTGTGTGGGTGCCTCTCGGGGTATATGCATTAGGAAAATTTGGGGGGCCACCGAGGGCTCCCCTGCTTCTTCTGTGCGTGGACAGCAGTCACGGTGAAAGCTAATGTTCGCTGAGCACTCCTGTGCGCCAGGCTCTGTCCTCAGGACTTGCAGCTCCCATTTCTTCCTGAGAACAGCTGTTGCCACCCGCATGCCACCGAGGAGCAGCTGAGGCACCAGGAGCGCAGTCCACTTGCCCCAGGCCACGGAGCAGTGCTGGAGCTGGGACTGGGTGCCTGTCCCCGTCGGGGGGCCTGGCTTTCCCTGTCTGTACAAGGGGCTCATAGTTTCTGGGACCTGGTGGGGGTGCCTGTGCTAGGAGTTGGGGTCAGTTAGGCAGGAGCTTGGCCCCCAGCCCCTGCCGAGCCCCAGAGGGCTCTTCTGATGGCTTTTCCCAGGAGGCCTCAGGGCCCTGGACATGGTCAGGTGAGGAGCGGAGAGCCAGCTGCCCCTTCCCGCCTCCTGCTTTCCCTGCCCAGCTGCCGCCTGAGGGGGTGTCCTGCTGCCTCTCCCGGCACAGCCTCCGAAGGGGCACTGCTAGGGGCTTGGCCCCTGTCTCTGCCCCTTCATAGCTGTGGGACCCTGAATAAGACTGCCTCTCGGTGCCTCCCTTTCTTCATCCTGAGTGAGGCTGCACTGGGCTCCACGTCACAGCGTTGTTTGTGGGTGTTCGTTACACCAAACCATCCCTCCTTGTAGCAAAAGAGGCTGGCCTGGCTTTGGGCCAGAAACTGGATGGCGGGGGCAGGGGGGGGAGGGAGGGGGCTGAGCCTGCTGGTGGAGGGGAACACCCCGGGGACTAGCGTCCCCACCACCCCAGGAATCTATGCACCTGCAAGGTCGTTAGCGCTAGAAACCACAAGGAAGTCATTTGCTTACGTCCCAAAGTTTGCAAATTCTGCCAGCGGGAGGCAGGGCCTGGGGATCCCTCCCTCCCGCCTCAGAGCTGGGGGAGGGGGCCTCGCGGTGCCCTCAGCGAGTACCCCAGCCAGGAGCCTGCCATGCACACCAACACCGCCTGTCCGGACCGCAGCCTGGCGGGGTGTCCTCCGAGGCCCAGCCGGGCGGTGAGCGGCAGGCTCCGTGCCCACGGCCTCTCTCTGCAGGTCCCAAAGCTGCTCAGGACTCGGCGTCCTCAGGGGAAGGGTTTTCTACATCCTCTCAGCTTACTTGTTGAATAAAAATGAAAGTGTGCACACAGGAGGACCATGCTCAGAGGGGAAGAAGGATACCCCGTCATGCCTCCCCAGCCCTGTCCCCACACAGGAACTCCCGGTGTCCCCGGGTCTCGGGCCTCCTTCCCAGGACATTCTGTGCTTCGAGACCTGCGATCCGTGTCTTTTTACACAGAAAAGCCATCGCTTCGGCTGCTTCGCCCCCGCTTCCCCCGGGGCCGTGCCGCGTGGCGCTTCCTCGGGGTCCCCGTGGCTTTATCGTGTGGCCGTCCCAGTGCCTCCTGTCTGGCCCCTGACGGGCGCTGGGGCTGTCCGCAGCCTCTGCAGTCACACACGTCCCAAGGCGTATCCTTGACCCCGTGTCCTTTCCCTCCGGTGAACATCACCCAAGGACAGGTTCCTAGAAGTGGCACTGCTGAGTCGGAAGGCACGTGGGTTTAATGTTCGTCGGTGTTGCCAAACGGTTCTCCGTAGAGTCGCACCGGCTGACCTGCCGGCGGCCACCTCCCCGAGGCGGCGGCGTGCTGCTGGCCCTTGCCGCCCGCGCCAGCCTGCTGATTCACGCGGCCTCTTGCGGCCTCACGTTACGTTTCTCTGCTTCCGAGTCCGCGTGGACGTAGGAGCCACCTGATTTCCTTATGTCCATGAACCCGCTGCCCATCGCCTTTCTGGGCGTGGGCCACAGGAGGCAGAGGCAGGAGCCAAGGCCGGGCATGTCCTGTGACGTGGGCCAACACCCAAGGTCCCGGGAAAGCCCGGTGACGTGGGCGTCGGGAGGGGTCCCAGGAGCCCAGGGTTGGTATCTTTTTAGGGCGCTCACTTCCTGGGTGCAGGCAGCCATCTGTGCGGTGGGCGTGCTGGCCGGCCGGCCGGCCGCAGGGCTGCCAGATGGAAGGGCCGGTTCCGAGTCAGATTCCCGCCTGCGGTGCCAGCTGCGGCCTTATCTCCTGCCCCGAGCCCAGGCCCCAGGTGGCCGCCGGAATTCTTTGGAAACCTGCAGAAACCAGGCCAGGAGGGCTGGGGCCAGGCAGGAGGAGGAGGGAGGGAGATCCGAGGTGCCAGCCTCCCACAGACGTGGCCTCCGTGTCAGAGGCAGAGCAGAGATGGACCCTCAGACCCCCTCAGGGCCTGGCGGGGGGGGGGGGGGGGATATAGGACTCCTGGATCTGAGGGGCGCGGCTCTGCAGGGATTTACAAGCTCCAAGTTTCTCGGGCTTCACTCTGGTTTCCACAGCCTCATTGGGCAAACTCAGTGCCCCCTTCCAGGGATGGCCTCAGGCCCAGTCCCCTCCGAGCTCCCCAGCCCCCTGCACCAGGAGCTGCCTGAGGCGGGGCCAGGTCTGCCCACAGCACAGCTGGCACCCGATGCTGAGCAAAGCCTTCCCCGGTACGTTAGTGCCAGGTCAACCTGGCGGGCGTGGGCCCCTGGAGAGCAGGCCGCGCACCCAGGCCCCCTGCAGTGCGGGGCCAGGCTGCCCACTCTAGGGGGGCCCTGGAGACCGGGCAGGGCCAGGTGGGCTGGGCGGGGCGGCCCGGGCAAGGCCTCTCCTTTATTCTGCAGGTGACAATTTAATTGCTCTGTAAATTTACCTTTGAGGAAGACCTCGGTGAGCACTGGCCTCTCCCGGCTGGAACTGACATTTAGAAGCTGAAATACCAGTTTCCAATGTTGTGAGAAGGAAGGAGTCCAGAGAGGGGTGATGAGGGGAGCAGGTGGTGCTTGGGGCCTGGAGACAGCCCTGGCCCTGTACCCCCTTCTCCCAAGCTCTGGGCTGTGGGCAACTGAGTAAACAGTCTGACAGCTGTGTGGACGCAGGGGTGACTCAGCGCCTGGGGCCCTGAAGGTACTCGGCCAGGTGGGGCGGCTCCCTCACCGAGGACTGGCCAGGGCAGGGTGATCCCGGGAGGGGGCTTTGCCCTGGAAGCCCTCCTGGGAGGCCGCGTTCAGATGAGGAGACGGGAAGGGCACCCTGCACAGAAGGAACGGCCCCAGCAACATCTTGGAGGCGGCCCCAGGGGAGGTGGTGGCAATGCCAAGGTGCCTCTCTTGGCTGGCGGATGGGGTGATTCCGGAAGCTGGCTGGGCAGATTGAGGCAGGCCTTGAAGACCAGGCTCAGGGTGGTCTTTGTTCTGCAGGCCAGGGAGAGCCACTGGCCTATAAACCAGGCAGAGACGGGGTCATTCATTCGCTTATAGAAGTTAAGTTAATGAAGCGCCGACACATTATTTCAGGTGCTGGGGACACGGCACGTAGTAACACAGTCCGTCACGAAGCCTACATTCTAATACCTATTACGGCTGATGTTTCCTGAGCATGTACTGTGCGCCGTGCATAGTCTAAGTATTTTATGCATAGCATGCCATTTCATCTCCATACCACCCCTCGGACATAGCTACTGCGATGATCCATTCCCATTGTGCAGATGGTGAAACTGAGGCACAGAAGGGGGTCACAGAACTGCCAAGAGGTAGAACAGGGTTTGAAGTCAAGTCCTCTGGACCAGACTCCTTGCTCTAACCCTGACGTTTCTCTGATCACATTCTCTTTTGCCCCCTAGGACCCACAGCTAACTCCCGACAGCTCCTTCACCCCCCTACCCCCGCCTCCTCCAACAGCCCAGCCCCACATCAGGCACCTGTGGGCATGGGCCAGAGCAGAGGTCGGTGAAGAGGCCGTCAGTGGGCGGACCAGAGGTCCATTCCAGAAGGGCAGTGGGGCTGCCTGCCCCAGGCTGGCCCAGCCGGGGGCCTTGGAGGGAGCACTCCTCCTGTGCAGCCTGGTGGGGGGCACCTCCAGGTGGGCAGGGTGGGGCATTCTCCTCACCTAACAAATGGGCACTGCCGAGAGCCCAATGCCACCATCTGGCACTGCCGAGAGCCCAATGCCACCATCTCAGGGGGAACTGGTTCAGCCCTCCCCCGCTATGTGCAGCCTGGTCGGACAGCAGCGGGGAGCCAGCATCGTGCAGGGATGCCTGGGGAGGGGCTAGAGGGTGCTCCATGGCCCCTGGACTCAGTCACGCGAGAGGAGAATTGGTCGTCTAAGGCAGCGGTCACCAAACTGTGGCTCTTTGGCCCCTTGAGGGTGGCTCGTCCACAAAATACCACGGCCTGGGAGAGTCTATGTTGAAGAAGTAGCGTTAGAAGAAATTTAAGTTTAAAAGATTTGGCTCTCCAAAGAAATTTCAATCGTTGTTCTGTTGATACTTGGCTCTGTTGACTAATGAGTTTGCCGACCACTGGTCTAGGGTTTTGGCAGGATTGGAGTTTGAAACAGACCAGGCCTGAGCTGGCAGAACCTAGTAACCCCCAGACAACCCCTGTGAGGAAGGACAGCAGAGCCTTGGGACAGGGATGGTTTTAGCTGGTGGCTCTGGGGCCACAGTAGAGGGATAAGCCCATGGATAGAAGGACATGAGACACAAAGTTTTCCCAGGTGACCTTGGCTGGGAGAGGCAGAGGGCCCAGGAAGGCAGGACAGCCTAGGAGTTAGTGCAGGAGGTCCTGTGTAGAGGGTTGAGAACCAGACTACCTGAGTTCAAAACCCTTCTTGCCACTTCCACTTCCTGCTGTGTGACCATAGACTGGTCACCCAACCTCTCTGGGCTCCAGTTGTCTCTCTGAAAAACGGGAATAATCATTGAATGCTCCTTCTCAGGTTGTTTGAGAGTCACAGGAGTAATGCACACAAGGCGTTAGCATGGCATTTGGCGTGTGGCGAGCCAGCACGGCCATGGCATACCCAGCCCCACGTTGGGCGACATATGTGCCGAGCCAGCTAGCTCAGCCAGGTTCGGTGAGCCTGAGAGGGGGCGGGGAAGGATTGAGAAAAGACAGACAAGAGAAGAAAGCTGGGTCTCGGTGGGTCGCCGTCCTCTCTGATGGAGAGCTAGCGACAGCGCCACAGCCCGGAAGCCGTGTCTTTCTTTTACAGCCAGATTCCGAGGCAAAGTACGTAAGGGCAAGTGGTCAAGATGTTTACAACATTCTCGTGGGATTCGAATCTGCTCAGTGACATGCACCTGAATTCTATCAAGCCCACATCACTCAGCCACCTGGGGCCCCAGGTTCGGACCCTCGGTTCAAGCTTACCGCGACAGCCTCTGGCTATAATTGTGCCGGAGGGCTCTGCCCTCCGGGCTGGGACTGCACGTGGCCCCGAGAGGACTGTGCCCTCTCATTCGTCCGAGGCTTGAACCTGTTGTCCAAACACTGTGGCCGCTCTCCACGCTGGTGCACTCAACTCTAATGGTCCTGCGGTGATTTATCGCGATCGCGAGCCCTCTCGCTGTGCTCAGCACACTGTGCCCTCCCACTGACCTGGGGAGATGATGAGGTAAAGCACCTGGCTCGCTGCTTGGTACACAGTAGGTGCCCAGTAAGTGGACTCTTATTAACACTAACGATGGTCTTCACAGCAGCCCTTCAGGGTAGGGTGGACTCCATCTTCCAAACTTACTCGGAGCCCCCGGGGAGCCAGCTGCTCAGGCGGGACAGAAGCACACGTATGTGCATGTGCAGGGCAGGTTGTCCGCTGTGATTGCATGGCGGGCTGGGCCTCCCCCAGGGCCAGTGAGTGGGGGTGGAAGGGGAGCCTGTGGTAGAAGCCAGGTTTGGGGGGAAGAGGGTATCGGTCAGGCTGACTATGCGGCTGTAACCACCCCCAGATCTCAGTGGCTTAAAACAATGGGGGTCCTGTCTTGCCCGCTCTGAACATGTGTATGTCAGCGGCAGGCCACCTGGGGCTGTGTCTCCTGCACCCCGGGACTCAGGGGCACACACCAGACACATCGTGCCGATTGCTGGTTTCTGCAGCAGAGGGACAAAGAGCGCCTGACCTGTGCCGTCCAGTACGGCAACCCCTGGCCTCTGTGGCTACTGAAATGTAAATGAAAGAAAATTAGGTAAAATTTAAAAGTTAGCTCCTCAGTCACGCTAGCCAGCCGCCAGCCGCATTCCCAGTGCTCAGAGCCGCCTGTGGCTGGTGGCTGGTGGCTGCTGAGCGGGACAGCAGCTGCAAGACACTCGGTCTCACAGAAGTTCTGGGAGCGCACGCTTCCCAAGTCCCTCACCACCGTTCAGTGCCACAGCCTGGCACTGACTCAGTCCCTCTCTTCCCAAGTCCCATGGAGGCCAGGAATGCCCACAGGTGGGAGAATCGGAAATGAATTCTCACCTAACAATACCGGTTCTTGAAACAGTTGCAAAACGATTTGTAACAAAACGAATTTAGAGGCTCATGGATAGGAACTGGTTAAGTTCCTGCGGCATCTCATCAACATAATAAAGAAATGACACTGAATGAAACGTTAGTTGAGGACCTGCTGCAGTTGGGGGACAGCATAACGACCACCAAAGAGTGAGTCCTGGGTCAGAGAGCAGAAGGGGGGACCCACACGGAGGGGTAGAGAGAGAACTCGAGAGGCAGGGAGAAGGTGGCTTGAGAGGAACTAGCACCCTCTGCCGTGCCCCTGAGGAATATGGTGGCAGAGGCGCCCAGTGCCTAGTGGAGGGGTGAGGGAGGCAGCGGAGGGGTTCAGGTGAGACTTCCAGGTGGGCTCCCTCTGGTCAGGGCCCTGAAGACCCCCTGGAGGTGAGGGCTGGGACTCCTGGGCGGAGCGCGGAGGGGCAGGCTGATGTGTGCCCAAGGCTGGCACTGTGCTGGGCTGAGGTGGGCATGGCTGAGCCGACCTCTCAAGGACCCTCGTCCATGAGGGACTTGGCCCAGAAACCCGCCTCGCCCTCCCCCCGCCCTTCCTGTCCACTCCAGCTAAATGGATCAGAAGGAAAACGTCTGTTTGATTTTAATCTCAACGCAGGACACTGGAGATTACATTTTCCACGGAAAATGTCAGCCGCTGCCTAAAATAGGACTTCGGCGAAAATGCTAGAAAGTGTATTTTTAGGTTATATGTTCCCCTCCTGGGTTCCTACAGCCAAACCATCCGGGGCTGCCCGATACTCTTCACGGTCTGGCTGCCAGGCGCAGGCCCCGGATCTTCCAAACAGGTGGTCTGCGAGAAAAATGATGGGCGGGCACTTGAGCCCAAAACAGGTGGACAATGCAAAGACCGGTGTCCAGGAGGAGGGAGGGGGAGGAAGAGGAAGGGGAAGAGGAGGAGGGGGAGGAGGAGAGCCAGCCTGGGGTGGAGCCTCAGAGTCTGACCCAGCTCCTGAGCGATGCCGGTGCTGCTGGCCCAGCCTGTCCTCCAAGGAGCAGAGACAGGGAGGCAGGGCTAGGCAGGCTGGGCCTCCGGGAGCTGAGCGTGCAGGGTCCCCCCTGCCTGGCTGCTGTGCTGTGTCCAGGGGAAGCCCTGGGGGTGTGGGGTTCAGACCTCGTCCTGGTGCAGCAGGTGCATCAGAGGCAGCCCAAGTCCATGTTCAAAATTCGAGGAGTCGGGGTGGGGACATTGATCAGGACTGGGCAGCCATGGAGGAGGAGCCACCTCGGGGTCCCTCTGTGACTGGGGGAGGGGCTAGCCTGGAGGCTCTGGAAGGACTCTCCTGGCTGGTCTTGTCCTGGGGGAGCCGGGGGGGGGGGGGGATAGGAGGTGGGGGGGGATGTGGTGGGGAGGTTGTGGAGTCCATTCTGTGACTCCAGAGAGCTGTGGGCATGTCTCAACCATCGTGGGGGTCCAGGCGGGCACAGAGGGAGGGGTCCCACTGCTTAACCCAATGTCTCTTGTCTCCGCATGGCGCCCACGGCTGCTGGATCCCGCAGAGCTCCCGACCGAGGAAGGTGAGGCGTGCGCCAGGGTGACATCCTTGGGCCGTTCATGGTCACGTGTGTCCTCCCCTCCCGGGCACCATGAGGCCCTGCCGAGCCCCCGGGCGTCGCCCACCTGTGCCTCTCCCGGCCTCGGGCTCTGCCTCGGAATGGTGGGGGTGGGGGTGGGGGCGGGGAGAGCAGGCAGGCGGTCTCCGAGGCTGTCCCAGCTCTGCGCGGGGGCAGGCCAGCTGGTCAGGGCCTGGGCCTCACACGTGTTCCTGTCCCAGGGAAGTCCCTGTGGGAACTGGTGCTGGAGCAGTTCGAGGACCTGCTGGTGCGGATCCTGCTGCTGGCCGCCCTGGTCTCCTTTGTAAGTGGGGCCCCGTCCCCCGGCCTCAGGCAGCCCGTGGGAGGCGGGGAGCCTGGCCGGGCCAGTGCCCAGAGTCCCAGGCTCCGAACACAGGGCTGTCCTCCCTGCCGCTGGCATCCCTGGGCCCCTGCCCGCCTGCCCTGCTCAGAGGTCACTTCCCCTGTGAACCCCCGCAGCCCCCACTGCACCCCACTCCCATCTGCCCCCCCCCCCCCTGCTGCCAGCCCCTGCCCCTGCCCTTTCCACTTTAGCTCAGGTTCCTTAGCCTCAGCAATACGGACATCTGGACCAGCTGATCTTTGCTTGGGGGCGGTCTTAGGCACCCCTGGCCTCCACCCACCAGGTCCAGTGGCACCCTCTGTTGTGACAAGCAGGTCCCCAGAGATTGCCAAATGTCCCCAGGAGACACCATCACCCTGGTTGAGAGCCCCTCTGGCTCCCTGTGCCCTCAAAGGACTTCAGGCCGGAATCTCTTGCCACCCCCCGGGGCTGCCGCCTCCCTTTGCTCTTGCCCCTGCCCGCTGCCCGGGCCCCTCCTGGACCCATGGGGCCATGGGGTCGGGATGGAGTGGGGAGGGGCAGTGGCTGTCATTGGGGACTGAGCAGCAGAGACCCAAGGATGGTGCAGGCACATGGCTGCCCGGAGGGTAGACAGGAGCCCTGCTCCCACCCAGCGCCCAGCAGGGCGGGGGGAGACCTGGTCCTGTGTCAGGGAGAGGAGGAGCAGCAGGGGCCCTGTGGGACTGGCCCGTCCCCTCCAGCCAGCTGTGTCTGGCTCTCCTGGCTGCTCCCTGTGCCTGTGGAGACTGAGGACTCTCACCGAGGAGAAAGTCTACCCTAAAACGGCTGAGCCGAAAGGGCACTGGCACCGACGGACCCCCTGAGGCAGTGGAGGGGAGGGACCAGGTCCCAGTTAGGCCGAGGGGTGGGAGTGAGTCGTGAACCGGGCCTTCTGCTTCAGGCCCGGGCTCTGGCTGGACTCTGTGTCTGGCCACCAGCCTCTGGAGTGGGGTCAGCTGGGCTTACTCAAACAGACTGGGGGGTTTCTGACTCCGGAGGTCTGGGGTGGACCCCGAGAATCGCATTTCTAGCAAGTTCCCAGGTGGTGCTGCTGCATGAGGGGTGGGTGGGGGACCACGCTTGGAAAACCGCAGCGAGGCAGACTGAGGCCCGCCGCTGTCAGCTGTGCAACGGGCCCACGTCCCTGAGAGCTGGCGGTGGGACTGGGCTGTGGTGTCGCTACCCACAGAGGCTGCGCGCCCGAAGCCACGGCCTTCTCCCAGCGGCCGTCTCCCAGGCCCTCCCCTCCCCTCCCCCCCGCCCCCCGGGCATCTTCCCCCAAAGCGGGGAGCAGACAGGAGACCCGCACACAGAGGAAGGGGTCAGCAGAGCCTGGCCCACAGCAGAGCCCAGTTCACCAGCTTGGGTCCCGGCAGGTGCTGGCCTGGTTCGAGGAGGGCGAGGAGACCATGACGGCCTTCGTGGAGCCGCTGGTCATCGTGCTGATCCTGGTGGCCAACGCGGTCGTGGGCGTGTGGCAGGTGGGAGCCGAGGGGATGGGGCTGGGCTGCTGGGGGTGACCTCTCCCCGGTGCTGGGGGTGACCTCTCCCCGGTGCTGGGGGTGACCTCTCCCCGGTGCTGGGGGTGACCTCTCCCCGATGCTGGGGTCCTGCCTCCAGCTCCATCCCGAGCCCCGAGGGTGTCCCTCCAGGAGGGGGGCCTGCTGGGGCCGGGAGTACAGACCGCGCCTGCCCCCCTGTGCTGCAGGAACGCAACGCCGAGAGTGCCATCGAGGCCCTGAAGGAGTACGAGCCCGAGATGGGCAAGGTGCTGCGCTCGGACCGTGCCGGCGTGCAGAGGATCCGGGCGCGGGACATCGTCCCCGGGGACATCGTGGAGGTGGCGGGTACATTGGGGTCCCTCTTCCTCAGGGGTGATGCTGCGAGCCCATCCCTCTCTGCGCTCCCGTCTCTGGCTGTCTATGTAGATCTCTCCTCAGCTCTTGGCCCAAACCCTGCTGGACAGGTGAGGCCAGAGGCCAGGGCCTCCCTCCCTGAGGAATCCCAGCTGAGATCCTGTCTCCCAGCCCCAGCCTTGGGGCCTGGGCGCCCTCCTGGCTTTTGGGGGGGCGGTGTCCAAAGCCACCCTCAGCCCAGCCCTTCTCTCTCCGCAGTGGGAGACAAAGTGCCTGCCGACCTCCGCCTGGTGGAGATCAGGTCCACCGCGCTGAGAGTGGACCAGTCCATCCTGACAGGTGAGGCCGGCGGCTGTGCCGAGCGGGGCTGGGTCAGGGGGTGGCGGTGTCTGCACGTGGGGCTTCTCATCTCTGACTCCATGAGCAGGTGAGTCCGTGTCCGTGACCAAGCACACAGATGCCATCCCAGACCCCAGAGCTGTGAACCAGGACAAGAAGAACATGCTGTTTTCTGTAAGTCCGCGGCCCTCTGCCTGGACAATCTATACTAATAAAAGGGTAACATACTAATGAGACCGGGAGACCTTGCAGGAGACCTTCCCGACATCCTTCCAGACAAAGCCACGGTGGCAGGACCGAGGCCAAGGAGGTTAGGGATGATCAGGCCAGGAGGGGAGGGCAATTGGGGGTGATCAGGCTGGTGGAGGGGCAATTGGGATGAGCATGCCAGCAGGGAGGGCAGTTGGGGACAAGCAGGTCGGCAACAGGGGGAAGTTGGGGGTGAGAAGGCTGGTGGGAGGGCAGTTGGGGGTGAGCAGGCTGGCAGGCAGAGTGGTTAGGGGCGATCAGGCAGGCAGGCAGGCAGGCAGGCAGGTGAGCAGTTAGGAGCCAGTGGCTCTGAATTGTGAGAGGGATGTCCAACTAAACCGGCAGTCAGACATCCCCCGAGGGGTCCCAGATTGGAGAGAGTGCAGGCCAGGCAGAGGGACAACACCCCCCTCCCCGCCCCCCAGTGCACAAATTTCATGCACTGGGCCACTAGTGATAATAGAAAGAATAACATTTAGATGAATCATATAAAGCCCTCATTGATTATCAACAACACATATAAGTTTGTAGTGAATAATAGCTGTGCCTGCATTCGTTTATTTAATCTTCACAAGACACCACCTTTGTTATCTGTGTTTTCCAGCAAGGAAACAGGCACAGAGATGTTAAGTACGTGGCCCAAGGTCACACAGCCAGTGACTGGCAGGGCTGGGATGTGAACTTAGACATTTCCAACTCCAGAGCGTTTCCTCTCACCTGCTAGGTTTATCCTGCCTCAAACCGGAGAGGGGCCGAGTTTGCCTATAGTCATTCAACGGAGAATCTTCTAGAGGAAGAGGGTTGCTAAAGTGGAGGGGGATGGCAGGAATAGTCATTTCTCCTCGGGGCAAACCAACCCCCCACGTCACAATGTTAGCCCCTCTCCCCCCCCCTCCTGCCCCCCACTTTTTTCAGGGAGATTGATGGGTTCAACCCTGTGGGGAGTGGCCTTCCCCTGGGGCTCACAGGGACTTAACTAGTGATGCTCCTGGGCTGCCCGGAAACAGCCTGAGGCCGAGCACGGAAGCCACAGGGCAGGGATGGCTCAGGTTGGTGGGCAGGCCCAGGGCATCAAGCGGCAGAAGTCGGAGAATGACCTTCACCCAGAGCTCTCCGGAGGACAGTGCCCCGCCTCCAGGCAGTGAAGCCTTGAGTGGGAGGGGTGAGCCCACTAGGTCGTTAAGTGTTAAGTGTTAAGCAGGTCGCTCTGGCTCACTGCAGGCCATTTCCTCAGCGGAGGGCCTGCCCGTGGGGGCGGGGCTGCAGGCTCAGGGCAGAAGAGGGGCTGAGGCTGCCGCCAGCACCCCCTCGCTCCGTCCTCCGCACAGCCGCCCGCCTGAGGGGTACTGAGCCGTGAGCCTCCGGGAGCAGCCAGCCGCCTTGGGCCTCTGTCGGACCATTTTCCAGGAGAGGACATGGAAGGTCAAGGCCGGCCGCCCTGGCACCGGCCCCTGAAGTCCTGGCTGCCCAGGATTTGACTTGGGCCTTGGAAATGGGTGGACTTAAGGCCAAGTTTTCCGGGTTCGTTCGTAAACGTGTACGGGAGGTTCACCTGTGACCACAGTCCGTCACCTGCCTGCGTGGCCGCTTGGATGTGTATGAATCTTACTTTGATGGGCTGGCGCTGTGCTGTGCTGGTTGATCATACGGTCAACATTGGCCTGGCGCCCGGGAGGTGTGACTCAGTGGCCGAGCGCCCACCCGTAACCCGGGAAGCCATGGTTCGATTCCCGGTCAGAGTGATCCCCAGTAGTGGGTGTGCAGGAGGCAGGTGATTGATGATTTTCTCTCATCGTTGAGGTTTCTCTCTCCCTCTCCGTTCCTCTCTCTGAAATAAATAAAAGCATAGCGTTAACAATATTGGCCTGGAGCTTCCTCTGTGCCAGGCCCCAGGGTAGGCACTAGGGATATGGCGCTGAACAAAGCCCCTGGCATCGTGGAGCTGGCACTGTCATGGAGGTGGCAGCAGTAATGGCACCGTAGAGCTGCGTACGTCCAGGAGCGCTGAGCGACAGGAAGAAAGAGAGCCACTCGGGGGACAAGAGCCCCACCCTGCGGGAGCCGGGGTGCTGGGCCCTTTCCCGGGGCTAACCAGCGCCCCCCTCCTCCCTGGCAGGGCACCAACATCGCCTCGGGCAAGGCCGTGGGCGTGGCCGTGGCCACGGGCCTGAGCACGGAGCTGGGGAAGATCCGGAGCCAGATGGCGGCCGTGGAGCCCGAGCGGACGCCGCTGCAGCAGAAACTGGACGAGTTCGGGCGGCAGCTGTCCCACGCCATCTCCGTCATCTGCGTGGCCGTGTGGGTCATCAACATCGGCCACTTCGCCGACCCGGCGCACGGCGGCTCCTGGCTCCGGGGCGCCGTGTACTACTTCAAGATCGCCGTGGCCCTGGCCGTGGCCGCCATCCCCGAGGGCCTCCCGGCCGTCATCACCACGTGCCTGGCGCTGGGCACGCGGCGCATGGCACGCAAGCACGCCATCGTGCGGAGCCTGCCCTCCGTGGAGACGCTGGGCTGCACCTCCGTCATCTGCTCCGACAAGACGGGCACGCTCACCACCAACCAGATGTCGGTCTGCCGGGTGAGTGTCCCCACCGGTCCCGCTGGTGCTGCCCTGTGGTGCTCAGCAGGCACCATTTTGGCTCCTCTCTGGATTGTGTCCTGGCTCCTTGTTGGCCGGGGGTGGAGGACAGAGCCTGTAGGATGCCCCCTGGTGGGGAGCAGAGTCAGGTCTTTGAGGGGCAGAGCAGCATCGTCTGGCCGGACATGTGTCACCAGGCAGATCATTGCCCACCTGGGAACCTCAGTTTCCTCCTCTGAAGCCTGGGTATGTCAGCCCTGCCCGGTCGCCGTCAAGGACCCAGGCCAGGGTCACGAATAGCCTTGAGGCGTCTGAGCCAGGCTGGGCCCGGACCCAGGCTCTATCCTGTTCTCCCGTGACTCGCTATGGGCAACGCCCGTCATCAGATCCGCCGGCTCCAGTGTCCCGGGAAGAGCCAGAGCAGGAATTATTCATTCCTTGCAACCCGATCCCAGATCCCGGCCCTGCTGTCCACCTGCTCCCGGGATTCTGGCTGGGGCTGTGGCAGGTGCAGAGGGCAGACGGGTGGGTGAGGTGATGGTGAAGGTTGTGGGTTTCCCACCTGCCTCAGGTTCGCCCCCCTTCCTCCCCCAACACTCCTGCCCCACCTCTGCTCCCACAGCTGCCCACTGGGCCTTGGCCACCCAGGCTCTGGGTCCGAGACTTCAGAGCCCTATGGAAGCCCACCGGAGGCCGCCGCAGGGGAGGGGCACCTGACCCGCTAAAATCCCTAGTGGGACTTCATTGGAGCGGTGTCCTCGGCTGAGAAGCACAGGGCAGGGCAGGTGGAGAGGCCTTACGGGCTGAGAACCCCGGCTTCGTAGGGCTCCGCTGGCTGTGGCTGGAGGGCTGCCCGGGAGCAGGGAGGGGCGTGTGAAGGAAGGGGCATTGATTGAGCACCTGCTGGATGCCGGGCTGGCCATTGGTGTGGGAATGTGCGGCGAGGCGTTTTCCAGGAAGCAGGAACTGTCTCCCTGGCAGAGCCGGCTGGCAGGCAGGAAATGGGCTGCCCAGGGCCGGGAGAGGCCCATCTCCACGAGGCACAGGCAGGGGCCGGGGGACCCAGCAGGCCCTCTGGGCGGAGCTCACTGTGTGTGGACGCCTTTGGGCAGAGGGTCTGTGCCCCAGAACAGGCTGTGGGGTTTCTCCCTTGGAGGCCAGGAACCCATCCCCTTGAGGGGAAAGAAGGGGCAGCTGGATGCTGGTCCCACTTTCTCTCCAAGTCACCCTTGGAGGAACAGGCTCAGTGCTCAGCCAGGGGTCACACTGCAAGATGGCAGGACCCGGGCTTCCTGCCCCAGCTCAGGGCATATCAAGCTCCCAGCGGCCCCCAGAACATTGAGGAGTCTGCTGTAAACCCCTCAGGGGTCTAGAGCCACAGTTTGCCACTCTGTTGACTAATGAGTTTGCCGAACACTGGGATAGGGGCTTAATCACAAGGAACGACAACAGCCTGTAATGATTGGAATCGAGGGTCTAGGTCAGTGGCGGGCAAACTCATTAGTCAACAGAGAGGCAAACCGCGGCTCGCAAGCCGCATGTGGCTCTGGAGCCGCAGTTTGCCGACCACCGCTCTGGACACACCTGGGCAGAGCAGAGGTTCCCGCCTCAGCCTGGACTCTGTACTACACACAGCACCTCTGTGAGCCTGTGGGAGGGAAGGCGGTGGCTCCCATGGGGGCCCACAGGACCCCAGCCTGGGGCCAGGCTTTGTTCAGACTGGCTGCCGGGGAGGAGGGAGGAGGGAGGGAGGGCCCCTCTCAGCAGGCTCCTGTGCTCCCGTCCTCAGATGTTCGTGGTCGCTGAGGCAGAAGCTGGTGCGTGCCGCCTGCACGAGTTCACCATCTCTGGCACCACCTACACCCCGGAGGGCCAAGTGTGAGTGCCGGGCGAGGGGCCGTGGGGGCGGGGCTTCCCGGCGGCAGGGCAAGGCCCTGGTGCTGACCGCCCGGCTCCTCAGGCTGCAGGGGGAGCAGCCGGTGCGCTGCGGGCAGTTCGATGGGCTGGTGGAGCTGGCGACCATCTGTGCCCTGTGCAACGACTCCGCCCTGGACTACAACGAGGTGGGCCGCTGCTCGGTGTTATGGTCTCCCCGGGACAGACCTCCTCCCAGGGTCTCAGCGCTCCCAGGACGGGTGGCACCTGCCCAGGAGCACTGCCACCCCTACACACACATACACACACCCCAACTGCTTTCTCGACTGGATGTGGAACCCTGGGTCTCTTGGACTGTGGGGGTCTGTAATGTCAGGGGCTGCAGGGCCAGGGAGGGTGTCTAAAGCAGAAGGCAGAGCCCAGAAAAGGCGAACAGACTGACCACACCAGCCTGGAGAGATGTAGCGTGAGTGCCCCTCCTGGTGGCCGGCAGGCGGCTGCTCCTGTTTGTGGGGAGGGACATGGCCACACCAGGCCAGGCCCGATGCCAGGCTGAGGCCAGTCGGTAGCCACCGAAGGGCTTTCGCCAGGGGAGTGGCATGGTCAGATTTACCTTTACAAACGCCACCCAGGCTTCTGTGTGGAGGATGGGACAGGCAGGGCAGGACTGGAGCCAGGGAGCCCGAGGCTGCAGCCTCAGGAAGAGTAGGGGCCGGAGAGAGACTGAGGAGCCAAGGTCCTGGGACTTGGTCACTGGCTCGATGAACAAGAGATGGAAGGCAGGGCAGCTTCCCGGCTGGGACCGTAACTATAGTGATGAAGGCAGCATCTCCAGGGAGAGGAGAGGTGGCCTGATGGTCCCCGAAGGGCTAAGTCCAGCGGGCAGCACCTGGACAGGTGGGCTGGGAGCTCAGGGGGCTGAGAGCTTGGGGGGGTGCTGAGAGCTTGGGGGCGGTCTCGGCTGGCTGGGCTCCAGCATTCGAGAGCACGTGAAGGGTGGTGGAGGCAGGGCCACGTGAGTCCTCCGGGAAGAGTGAGAGGGAAGGAGCAGTATTTACAAGGAGGAAGGAATTGGGAAGGAGGCTGAGGCGGAGCCAGGAGAGAGGGGCGGAGGGCAGGGAGGTTACCAGGTGGGCTTAGAGCTCAGGGGAGAGGTCTTGGTGCCAGAGAAGGGAGGGTCGAGGTCTTGGTGCCAGAGAAGGGAGGGTCGGGAGGGAAGGTGAGCGTCAGCGCCAGATCCCACTCAGACCCCAGGCTAGCTGGGCGGGGAGGGCCCACAGGTGTAATGCCAAAGAGGCCACAGGTATGGGGCAGAGGGAGCTCCAGGGGCAGGAAGTGGGGGGGGGGGGAGTAAGGTTGGGAGCCCTCCAGGGGCCGCCCTTCCCTTACCCCTGTGCCCCGGGCCTGCCAGGCCAAGGGCGTGTATGAGAAGGTGGGAGAGGCCACGGAGACGGCGCTGACGTGCCTGGTGGAGAAGATGAACGTGTTCGACACCAGCCTGCAGGGCCTGTCCCGGGTGGAGCGAGCCGGCGCCTGCAACGCGGTGAGCGGGGTGGGGCGGGGCCGCCTGGGCGCCCGGGGACGGGGCGAGAGGCGGACACAGCCCTGGGAGGCTTCTGGGAGGAGGAAGGACCTCAGACCCTCGTGCTGCTTGGCCGGGAAGAAAATGGAGGAAAGCGCCGAGTGAGGCCAGAGACTCGGGGTTGGGAAGTGCACAGCCTGGCGGGGAAGTGGCAACTCGATGGCACTTCTGGGGCTGGAGAGGGAGATGGAGGCCTCCAACGCCGCCGGGTCAGAGGAGAGACACCATCCCTCCACTGCAAGGGGCTCCGTCTCTGCCCTCCCGCCCTCACCCGCCTGGGCCCCACAGGTCATCCGCCAGCTGATGCGGAAGGAGTTCACCCTGGAGTTCTCCCGAGACCGCAAGTCCATGTCGGTGTACTGCACGCCCACCCGCCCTGGCCCGGCGGCCCAGGGCAGCAAGATGTTTGTGAAGGTGCGAGCTGCCTGCCTGGCGGGGGCCTCTCCGAGCTGGGGTCCCTGGGGTCCCTGGTCTCCCGTCCTCTGAAGAGCACAGGCTGCAGCTGAGGGAAACTAAGGGAGGTGTGAGGCCCACCGTCCAGCAATGGACCCGGGACCAGGGTGGCTGCCTGCCTGGGGGGGGCTGGGAGCCGATCCAGACGTGGTGGAGGTGCAGCCAGGGACAGGGGCTGAGGCGTGCCCCTCGCCAGGGTCCCAGCTCTGGGCTGAAAGACACTGCTTGGCCACACGACCTTGGGGCCACCCAGGCTCTGCTGTGGAGCTCAATCTCCCCATCTGAATAGCAGGGCTGGGCTGGAAACCCCGTGCCTCTGACTGGGGTGTGGAGGTGAGTGGTGCTCCTTCCCAGAGAGGGAGGAACCGCCCCATCCCACCCAGACCTCTGCCGCGGCGCCTCCTGTTGCTGCTTTGGAGCCTGGAGGAGGAATCGCAGCCCTGACTTTTCCTGCAGTGGAGGCTCAGCCAGCCCTCCACACCCTCAGCCTGGCTCCATTCTGGCCCGAGCAGGGCCCAGCCTGCCTCCTGCTGCTGAACCCCCCCTACAGAATTGGGGTCCCCCTTTCTCCCAAAATGCTGCAGTCAGTGCAGGCCCCCATGGCGGCCATGACCCGCCCATCCCCTTGGGGTCTTCTCACCAGGGGCCCCTCGGTCCCCACCCTGAGCTTCCAGAGGAGATTCTGGGCCTTGCTTGGCTGTGTGTCCCGTCGGGTGGCCTCTCCCCTTATCGGGGTCCCAGTTCCCTCGGTCGGTCGGGAGGGAGGAGCGGGGTCCTGACTGACAGAGCTGCCCCTCCCCATGCTGCAGGGGGCTCCGGAGAGTGTGATCGAACGCTGCTCCTCAGTCCGAGTGGGGAGCCGCACAGTACCCCTGAGCGCCACCTCCAGGGAGCAGATTCTGGCCAAGGTCCGGGACTGGGGCTCGGGCTCGGACACGCTGCGCTGCCTGGCGCTGGCCACGCGGGACACGCCCCCGAGGAGGGAAGACATGCAGCTGGACGACTGCAGCAAGTTCGTGCAGTACGAGGTGCGTGCCAGCGGCCTGGAGTGTGTGTGTGTGTGTGTATGTGTGTGTGTGTGTGCGCAAAGGCGGGCAGGCACCTGCCTGCAGCTGCTGCGCGGGCAGCCAGGGGAGGAGGGGCCCGGCCCCACTGGCCTCTGCCCCTCCCTGCAGACGGACCTGACCTTCGTGGGCTGCGTGGGCATGCTGGACCCTCCGAGGCCGGAGGTGGCCGCCTGCATCGAACGCTGCCGCCGGGCAGGCATCCGTGTGGTCATGATCACGGGGGACAACAAGGGCACGGCCGTGGCCATCTGCCGCCGGCTGGGCATCTTCCAGGCCGCGGAGGACGTGACGGGCAAGGCCTACACGGGCCGGGAGTTCGACGACCTCAGCCCCGAGCAGCAGCGCCACGCCTGCCGCACCGCCCGCTGCTTCGCCCGCGTGGAGCCCGCGCACAAGTCCCGCATCGTGGAGTTCCTGCAGTCCTTCAACGAGATCACCGCCATGGTGAGGCCCCCGCGGGCGCCGGGGAGGAGGGGGCGGGGGGAGCACAGGCCACGCGGCTGGAAGGAGCCACCGCGAACCCCTGCCTCGGCTCCGTTCTCACTTTTCCCGGCGTTGTCTGACCCACACATCTCCACACAAAGGCACAGGGAGGTAACGGGGCTGCGGAGCTTCTCTGCCCGCCAGCCAGGTGCTGCCAGTCACCTGCTATCGTGGCTCTAGCGCGTACCTGTCCGTCGGTCCCTCCTCTACCCATCTTCGTTAGATGCCTTTCTGAGGTGTAGGCATCCGCACCCTTCGCCCTCACGTGCTTCAGAATGCATACTCAGACAGCGGTGCTGGTGGCTCCATCTGTCTCCTTGGTAAGGTAGAACGTGCCTTGCAGGGAAATGCACGCGTGTTAGGCATGCCGTTCCTTTGGTGAGTGCTGGCAAATGACACGCCCGTGTCATCCAAACGCTTCCGGGGAGCACTGTCCTCAGGGCTCCTCCCGCAGGCCCCTCTCCCGAAACAAGCCACAGGCAGCCGCCGCGCTGATTTCTCCAAGGCAGTTCTGCCGGCCCTGCATTTTCATAGGAATGGAGTCACACAGTATGGACCCCTTTGTGTCTGGCTTCTTCCTCTGGAGATTTATCCGTGTTGCTGAGGTTACAGTAGATGATTGCTTTTTTTTTTTTTTAGATGTTTACTGATTTTTTTTTTTTTTTTATAGAGGGGGAAAGAGAGGGAGAGACTCAGAAACATGGATGAGAGAGAAACATCTATCAGCTGCCTCCTGCACACCCCCTACTGGGGATGTGCCCGAAACCAAGGTACATGCCCTTGACCGGAATCGAACCTGGGATCCTTGAGTCTGCACGCCGATGCTCTATCCACTGAGCCAAACTTGCTTTTTAAATTGTTGAGTAGCATTCCATTGTGTGACTACACCACAGTTTATTCGTTCCCCTGTGCATGGACATGGGGTGTGAGCCCAGTTTTCTCTCTCATTTTTTTAAATATGTATTTTTATTGATTTCAGAGAGGAAGGAAAAGGGAGAGGGGGAGAGATAGAAACAGCAGTGATGAGAGAGAATCATTGACCAGCTGCCTCCTGCACGCCCCCTCGAGCCTGCAACCTGGGCATGTGCCCCTCTCATTCTTAATTGCTGACCCATTCATCAACACTGTCTCACTTTTAACTGAGACCTCGTCCCTGACCCGGCCTCTGTTATTAATTTTGACCTCAGGCTAACCCAGTCCTTTACTTTCACCTTAATCCTGACCTGTGGCTCAGCCTGGATTTGGATATTGAACTGGGCACCAACCTTGACTGGATTACTTGTTCTTGACTGTATTCTTGACCTTGACCTTGACCTTCTGAATCTGATTTTTTACTTTTAGCTCAACCGTGGTATGTGTTTCAGTTTTTACTTGGACCCTGACCTGATCCCTGACATTGATCTTGATTTCCCCAACCCAATACTTCATGTTGACTTCAACTTTGATCTGGCTTCCAATCTTGGCTTTGTCTAAATGCCAACTTCGACCATCACTTCACTCCTGATATGGGCCATAGCCTTGATTTGGCCTCTGACTTTGACTTGACCTCTACCTTAATCTAATTTTTAATCTTGAGCCCGAGTCCAGTCTTGACCCTGACCTTCCCCCTTGACTACAGTACTTACCTGGTCCTTGACCTGAGCCACAACCTTGACCTCATTCCTGACTTGCCCTTAACTTTGTCCTTAACAGAAACTTTATCTTCTGCTCTCCATCCAAACTAAATTTCATCCCCACCCTCATTGTTGACTCACCCTCCTGCCCATCCCCACCTCACCATCTCCTCTGGCCTGGTCTGTTCCCCAACTTGGCCCTTCCCTTCCCTTTAGCCTCATCCTCAGCCCCGTTTCTAAGCTCATGACCCCACATTTGTTCCGTCCAGCTGTCCACTTCCGTGGGGACATCCTCTGAGCTTGGGGATAGGCTGAGTGGAAGGGAGTTGGGGAGATAGAAAGGAGCAGTTTCAGGTGAGAACCCCCCTAATCTGATTTCCAGACTGGAGATGGGGTGAATGACGCCCCAGCCCTGAAGAAAGCAGAGATCGGCATCGCCATGGGCTCCGGCACAGCCGTGGCCAAGTCGGCAGCAGAGATGGTCCTGTCGGATGACAACTTTGCCTCCATTGTGGCTGCGGTGGAGGAGGGCCGGGCCATCTACAGCAACATGAAGCAATTCATCCGCTACCTCATCTCCTCCAACGTGGGCGAGGTCGTCTGGTGAGGCTCCACCCCCTCTTCCCTGCCCTCTAGACCCGGAAACGCCTGTTCCTGGGATGGGGCTGCTGGGACGGAGGAGCATGTGACTTGCCCTGGCTGAGGCCTTCCGGGTCTCCCCTCAGGTGGGCCAGGATGGGGACACCGTGTCACTCTCGAGGCCCTGGTGTACCCCAACGAGGTGCCTGAAAAGTCCTCTCTCATCCCTCCAGCCCTGACCTTCCCACGTTCAGAGTCATGCAGATGGGAGAACTAGCCCCACCTCTGGGCAGTGATGTGTTTGTGTGTGTCCGTGGTGAGTGCGCATGCTGTGTGTGCCTTAGTGAGAAGTGTGTGTGTGTGTGCGTGTGTACCTGTGTTCTGTTGCATCTTTGGGGTGAGTACAAGCACAGGGACTTGTGCGGGTGTACAGCTGTGTACACGCTTAGGTTAGCATGTGAGAGATGGCTGTGGGGAATGGGAGCTCATGTTTGCCTGGACACGTGAATTCTGCATCTCTGAATGTGGGGCAAGTGTATAGGTGTATGCTTGTGTTTGTGGGGTTCTATAGCCTGTGCTGGGTGTTTGCTCGTGTTTGTGGACAAATGTGTCTATGCGTGGGCATCACCGTCCGCCTGTGTATGCCCCAAAGAGGACTCTGTCCTAGCAGAAGAGGCCTGAGGAGCAGCTATGCCCCGGCTCTGGAGCTGGGACGGAGGGAGCCAGGGGGCCCAGTGCGAGGCAGAGCTGTGCACACACCCCTCTCACTAACACACACACACACACGTGCACATACACACACACACACACACACACACACACACACACACATGTCAGCACTAGCAGGGCGAGGCTGGGCTGCTGAGGTGGGCGGAAGCTGGGCCCTCCATTGGCGGGGGCTGGAGCCTACGACTCTGGTTCTAGCATCTTCCTCACGGCCATCCTGGGCCTGCCCGAAGCCCTGATCCCTGTGCAGCTGCTCTGGGTGAACCTGGTGACGGACGGCTTGCCTGCCACCGCCCTGGGCTTCAACCCTCCAGACCTGGACATCATGGAGAAGCTGCCCCGAAACCCCCGCGAGGCCCTCATCAGCGGCTGGCTCTTCTTCCGGTACCTGGCTATTGGAGGTAAGTGGGGGACCCCAGCTCGCAGTGGGGTTCCAGGAGTCTCCTAAGACCCTTTATCAGGTAGGCTTGCAAACTGCAGACAGCAGTGACTCAGCCTGGCTTGTGCCAAAAGAAACTGTGTGAGCTCATCTAACTGAAAAGCCTGCTTCAGGCATGGCTGGACCCAGGTAGGCCTCAGATTGTAGTAGCATTGGCATATTTTGGCTCTGCCTCAGCTCCACTCTCAGGCAGGTACCTCTGTGGTTGGCAGAATGGCTATGGCAGCTCCAGCCCTCGTGCTTGCTCCATTTGCAACCCCAAATTCAATAGGAGAAAGTGCTCGTTATCATACCACTCCCTCGGTAGCAGGAGAAAAGTCTGGCCTGTTCTCATTGGTCCACGTTGGTTTACCTGCTTATCTCCTAGCCAATCCTGTGGCCAGGGGTGTGACACGCCGCTTGCCGGTCAGGGCCCACCGCTGGCTCCTGTGGCCTAGAGACGGGGAGATGGTGACGGGAAGTTATTGGGGAGGGGACAGGGATGCCGGAAAACCACAGCTGTCCGTTGTAGCTGGTTTCCTCCCTCCTTCCCTGCAGTGTACGTGGGCCTGGCCACCGTGGCCGCCGCCACCTGGTGGTTCCTGTATGATGTCGATGGGCCTCACATCACCTTCTACCAGCTGGTGAGTGACAGCCAGGGAGCCTGTTGGGGGGATTTCCGAGTTGGAGTTTCAGGGGAAGGGGGTCCAGAACCCTGGGATGGCCCATGGCTATCCCTTCCCACCCCCATTCCCACAGTCAGACATTCACCACCTGGGGAGCCAAGCTCAGAGCTGGGGAGCCAAGCTCAGAGGGCCGCCCGGCCCCCGAGTGGACACGAGGCTATTCCCTCTCTCAGGCTTCCAGTGAGGGGTGGACCAGGGACATGACTGCCCATAAGTGTCTTACCTTTATTGAGGAGGCCCCCAAAATAGTGAAGGCTCAGAAAGATGAGCCCCTGAAGGATGCAACTTCAGGCAGAGGGTCAAACTGAGGAGGCCAGGAACCTGCCGGGGTTCCCCCCCAACCTATTTCTCAGAGAAGGGACCCCCTGACATCTCGAAGTCCCCTGGCTGGCAGGTGCACTCACAGGGCTCTCTTAGCTCAGCACAGTTCTGGAAGCAGGCAAGGAGCCGCCTCCGCCTCTGTCCGTCAGTCTGTCCCTCTGTCTAAGCGGCCAGGGTATCTCCTCGGCCTGCGAGAGCCTTCCGGCGGTTCTGTGGGTTTGTCGTTGAAAGTCGCGAGCCGCAGGGACTCAGGATTTCCTCCTGAGTGCCGCCTGTGCTACTTCCCTGCAGACAGAGATCCTGTGGGAGGGGCCCTGACTCCTGCCCCATCCCTGGAGTGGCAGGGCAGTGCCAGGGCTGGGCCATCACCACGGCCCTCCGTGGGGAGCCTGTGATTTCAGGGCTTCTCCGGTGTCCCCATCCAGGTTGAGGCAGCCCAGGGACATGTGGGCAGCAGTGGAGGGCATGGGCCCGGCTCTCACCCAGAGGCTGGTGCCCCCAGCCCTCAGGAGGTGGCAGATGCTCGGGCACCTCAGCCAGTGGGAGCTCCAGGGTGGAGATGGAGCTGTGCTGACCATCCCTCAGCTGCCTTCTCCCAGCCCCGCCTTTATTACCACCCTTTATACTGGGGACCCCAAATCTCCAAGGACCTACATCCCCCCTCCCCACCTTCTGACCCAGACCCACATGTCCAGCTGGCTGTCTCCTCCAGGATACCCCACAGACCCATGACGCTCGCCACTTCCAAAACCAGATCTGTCATCCTCCCCCAAATGATCTCTCTCCTCCCTCCCCATCTCAAGTTCCCTCTCTGCCTGTCACCCAAGCCAGACACCTGGGAGTCACGCCAGGCACATGTTAATTACCGATCGGCCTCCCGTCTTCTCTGTGCCCCACAGTCCTCCGCCACCCCGGTTCTCACTTATCCACGTGGCCAACTAATGGCTGGTGGGCGCCGCCTGCACCGGGCACAGGCGGCGTCTGCAGAGAGCTCCTGGCTGCAGCGGGCGAGCCTTGGAAACAGGCAGTCACGTGTCGGGGTGGGCAGCCTTGCAGCAGAGACAAGGCAGTGGCAGTGGGACTAGACCTACGCTAGAACTCTCAGCTCTGGTTGTTGGAGGTTCGGGAGAGGAGCTCAGAGCCCCCGGCTTCCTGGAATAAGCCGCCCAAAGGCGGCCGGGTGGTTCGGAGCACGGAGCGTGGAGCACGGAGTGCGGAGCCGGAGGCAGTGCTCCCACAGGCTGGCTGTGTGACGTGGACAGACAGCTCCTTAACCTCCGGCTGCCTTCCTCGTCTGTGAAGGGGAGGACAGTCCCTGTCTCCCAGCGTGGAGAGGGTGGATGGCAACGTGGTTAGACCCACAGAGCACATATTCACATACGTGTTGATTAAGTTTATGAAGCCCAGAGGAGCCTCGCAGGGGAAGGCAAAAGGGAAATATAGAGGCAAAGGCAAGGGGGACGCAGGGCAGTGGCTTCACCCAACGAAACGGGCCCCACGTCCCCAGGGGCTCCCTGCGAGCCTGTGTGCGAGTGCCAGGCCCAAGCACCTTCTGAGAAACGGTTTGGAGGCCTCCCTGTGACCCACGACCCGGGTACCGTCGTGTGTGGCAAGTGCTTGCAGGTGAAACCCAGCAGGTCTGCACACACACACACACACCCCGTTGCTCTTGCCTTAAGTACCTCCCCTGTACTTAAGGCAAGAGCAACAGATTCACTGAAACGTGTGCTGTGACCTGTTCAGGAAAACATGCACTTGTCCCAAATCCCGGAGCTAGCTTTTTGGGAAAATCACTTTTGACATAAGACTCTCTTTTTACTTATTTATTTTATTTTAAAAAAATTTTGTTAATCCTCTCCCAAGGATATTTTTTCCATTGAGCTTTTTTTTTTTTTTTTTTTTTTTTTAAGAGAGAGAGAGAGTAGAAGGGGGAGGGGGAGAGAGAAACATTGTTGTAAGAGAGAGAAACATTGTTGTAAGAGAGGCACGTGAATCGGTTGCCTCCTGCAGGAGCCCTGAATGGGGTGGGGATCGAACCTGTAACCGAGGTACACGCTTTTAACCGGATATCCAACCCCTTGACCCTTTGGTGTGCAAGACTACGCCCTAACCACTTATCCACACCAGCCAGGGCTACCTCTTTTTACTAAACTAAGACACCTAGCCAGGCCACAGACGTTTGTAATTTCTCACCCTGCGGCAGCCCGTGCCGGCTGAGTCAGCTCCGCTGTGGTCGTGCAGTGTGGGAAAGTGGAGGCCAGACGGCTGTCATCTCACAGGTTTCTCTTTCTCTCTGAGGGTTATTCTCACAGCCATGGCCCCAGTTTCTAAACCCTTAGCTCCAAAGATCTACATTCAGATGAAGCTCTGGAGGACAGACTTACATTACAGGACACGCTTGTTCACACTCATCCCGTGACGCGAGGGGAGCAAGCAGGCTCTCACGGGGGGGGGGGGGGGGGTAGGAAGGTGTGGTGGGGGGGGGCCTCGGTTCTGCACCTGTCACAGCGGCTCGGTGAGCAAGGTTTCAGGCGGAGGAAACTCCCCGGGGGCTGCGCGGGCCAGGGCCACTTCCTTAGCGACCCTGAGCGCTTCTTGCCGGTGACGAGGGAGGCAGACAGTGAGCCAATTCCTTAGTTCAAAAGCCAAGGGCAGGGCAGGCGGGGCCCAAGGCCAGTGGCATACATGGAGGAGGGATGGACGGAATCGAACGGATCAGTGCTGACCAGGGCACGTGCACTCGTTTCTACCCACCAAAGGTGGGCTCCGTTCAAGCATCATTTTACTCATTTTCCAAATGTTGACGTGTTCGGTGTTCTCAGTTCATCACCAGCCCCGCTCCCGGACCTCCTCCCCCTGAGCCCAGCTCCCCTCCCCCACTGTCCTCCCAGCCTCATGCCACCCGCTCTCTCTGCCCCAGACGGTCTGCCCTTCTCCCTGGCACAGTGCTGGCCGTCTGCCCCCCCTCCCCCCTTCCCTGGGCCAGCCCCCCTCCCTGAGCCGCCCCAGGGCCGCCCTTCCTCCCTGGTGGTGTGGACCCAGCCCTCAGAGGTGGGCGAGAAGTGGGTGAGGCTTCCTTCTCCCCACCACCAGCGCTGTCCGTCCCTGACGGCTGTTCTCCCCGACCCCGCCTGACCCACCACCGCTCCCCCAGCGGAACTTCCTGAAGTGCTCTGAGGACAACCCGCTCTTCGCCGGCATCGACTGCCAGGTTTTCGAGTCGCGCTTCCCCACGACCATGGCCTTGTCTGTGCTGGTGACCATCGAGATGTGCAACGCCCTCAACAGGTGAGTGGGGCAGAGGGGCCCGGGGCTGGGGGTGAGGGTGTGGCGGCCGAGGCTTCAGACGAGGGGGCTGAGGGTCAGGTGAGGCCCAGGATTGGGGTCGGAGGTGTCCAGGATTGTAGCGTGAGGGCTAGGGGGTCCAGGATTGGGCCTGAGGCTCCGATATGCCCAGGATTGGGGCTGAGGGTCAGATTTGCCCAGGATTGGGGCCTGGGAGTCAGAGGGATCCAGAAGAGGGTTCTACGAGTCAACAGGGCCGCAACTGGGACCCAGAGAACAAGTTTGGGGTTTGAAGAAACAGAGGGGCCGGAATTGGGTTTGAGGGACAGAAAGGAGGGTCCAGGCCCCTGTGGGCTGGGCAGGCAGCAGTGACTCACCCCCTTCAGGCGCACTGACCGCCCAGAAGTGCTCCGCCCTCAGACCCCGTTAGGGACGTGCTTAGGCTCAGCCACCTCTGCACTCCCGCCCCCGGGGTGGACGGGGCCCACGGCGGGGCTGCCTGCATCCTGGCCCCAGGTGAGCGCCCCGTGTCCTCGGCAGCGTCTCCGAGAACCAGTCGCTGCTGCGGATGCCGCCCTGGCTGAACCCCTGGCTGCTGGCAGCTGTGATCATGTCCATGGCCCTGCACTTCCTCATCCTGCTCGTGCCGCCCCTGCCGGTGAGTGGGGTGCCCCCCGACTCCCTTCTGCAGCTCCCGGGGTGACCAGGTCCACGTCCTCTGACCTCCAGCCCGGGGCCTGTGGCCGGGCCTCCTGGGCCCTTTGCCCAGGAGGACTGGGGGGAGGGGAGGTCTGAGAGGGTCACCGCGTGGGGCCTGTCTCAGCCCAGGACAAGCCCCTGGCCTCCAGAGAGGTCCCCACATCGGGGGCCACAGACTCGGGGAACAGAGGGGTGTGGGGTCCCCCAAGGGAGGGGCAGGAAGGCATATTACACTCTTCCCTGGTGTGGAATCGCTCTCACTGCCCACATGCCCAGGGGGATCGGTCCTAGGGGGGGAGGAGGCTGGGAAGGCACTTCCAGCAGAGAAAGCGGGTCCACGGGGGTCTGGGGCGGGGCCTCGGGGGGAGTCCTGGGCGTCCTCAGGGAGTCCCCACGGCCTGGGGGATGAGCCCCTCCTCTAACCAGCCTCCCCCGCAGCTCATTTTCCAGGTGACCCCCCTGAGCGGGCGCCAGTGGGGGGTGGTGCTCCAGATATCTCTGCCCGTCATCCTGCTTGATGAGGCCCTCAAGTACCTGTCCCGGCACCACGTGGACGGTGAGTGGAGCCCAGCCCCCTCCCTGCCCTCCTCTGCCATCCGGCTGCAGCGAGCGGTGCCAGCATCAGCCTCCGTGGCTGTGGGGGACGTGAGGGGCTCTGATGGCCGGGGCCCGAGGTGTCTGCAGGGGGAGGGACCCTGGGAGCCAGCGGGAGGGCTGCTCAGGGCCACGCTGCCTCGCTCACCTTCCTGCCGCCAGCCCTGCCCCGCCGGGCTCGCTGGGCCCTCCCTGGCACGGCCTCTGACGTCTCTGGACATGGCCTCGCTCTCTAAGGACAGCCTCCCCGGCCTCTGTGGGCAGCTGCCGACCCACCAGACCCCACCCCGCACCGGGCTGGCCTCTCGGGTGCCACCTTGTGGGCGGGCAGAGGGTGGCTCTCTGTTTCTGAATTTACAGCTCTAGGTCTGCCTTTGCCTCTGAACGGAGGGCAGGCTGGCACGGTGGGGGTGGGGGCAGCGAGCAGTGGAGCAGCCCGGAGCCTGGCGCCCACTTGCCCGCTTCTGCCTGAGGGCCTCGGAGGGGGTGGCTCTGCCCCGGGCATCGCCTCGCTGCCGTCAGCCGGCCTGGAGAGCGAGGAAGCTGGAGCGAGAAATTCCTGGTTCCCGGGACCCGGAGCCAAGGAGGTAGCGGCCTGGCCGGGGTTAGACCCCGCGATGGCAGTGGCCAGGCCTGGCTGTCAGCGGGGTCCCTGGGGCCATCCCGGCAGGAATGTGGCCCGGCCCCAGGGGAGGGAGCCGGGAGGGCTAGAAATAGAGCTGTGCTGTCACGGCCGATCCCCCATCTCTCACGCCGCCCGCCCTCCTGGGTGCTGCACATACTTCGTTTTATTAGAAAGGCTGAGACACGCTGTCCTCCTCTCGGGAGAAGCTGGCCCCCCGCAGATCTGGGCAGAGGGGGGCCCGGCCTGTGGGAGCCCGTGTCTGGGGTGGGAGGAGCGGTGCGAGGCATTCTGCGCCTGGGGTGGGTCTTTCTGGCCCACCCTCCGTGGGCACTCCTGGGGGGGAGGGTGCAGATAGGGGGACGGGACTGTGGCCTAAAACCCCGTCCACGGGAGCCCACGGCCTCCCCGGCTCTGGCCGCAGCACAGGGCGGTCTCGCCAGGAGACCCTCTGGCCACCTGGACCGCCGACTCCCCCCGCGAAGCCTCACGTCCTGGGCCTGTGGCCGGCCTGGGCAGCTTCTCTGTCTTCCTCAAGAGCCTTCCCCACTCGGCCACCGTGGCCCAGGGGCTCGGCACGTTTTCTTGACAAAACTCAAAGGTGAGAACACGCCTCGGCCAACAGGGACAGCTGGGGTCCTGGGCATTGCCCGGCGTGGGCTGCTGGAGGAAGGACGCTGGGCGCAGGCGCAGGGAGCGGGGCCCTGGCTGAGGGGACGGGTTGGGGAGGACGGAGCGGGGGGAAGGCGGGAGGAGCAGGTCCGTGTCCCTCGTGGGGCTGGAGCTTGGAGTGCAGGGGAGAGAGGTGAGGCCAGAGGTGAGACCTGGTCTTCAAAACCAAGGTGAGGGCCCTGGGAGCCACGAGCGGGGCAGCACGGGAGGGATGGGGCGAGCATGGAGGATGGGCGGACAGAGGGTGAAACCAAAGGCAGGAGGGGTCGGTCAGGGGACAAGGCCAGGCCCCGCCCAGGACGAGCTAGTCGCAGGCCACAGCCCCATGTCCACCGTTAACCTGAGATGCTGGCCCCGGTCCCCGAGAGGCTTGGCTTTAAAAGGTGGTGCCTGCTGTTGCTGGAAGCCCAGACTGCTCTCCTTGTGCGGCTGCAGTCCCTGGGGCCTCCTCAAGCCGACGGGGCGGGGGTGAGAGAGGGGACCCTGTTACGTTCCCAAGCCAGGCTGGTGGCCTTTTAGGGAAGTTTTGCTGAGGCCCGAGGCTCATGGCTTCCCGTGGTTTGTGAGGTGTGTCCTGGGGAGAACGGTGGACCCTGGGTCAGCACCAGGGGTTGTAGGGGTTGGGGGGGGGGCTTCTTGCCCCACCCACTGGCTCTCCCAGGTGTGGCTGAGCAGCTGTCAGGCAGAGGCCCGCCGGTGGGGCTGAGTGGAGGGGACGCCTGAGAGGCCTAGTGGGTCCCACCTGGGAGGTCCCAGCAGCCTGGCCTTGACTCTGAGAGCCGTGGGGAACCCCAAGGGGCTGATGGGGTGAACCTGAGGTGTGACGCCAGGGGTGGAGAGTGGGGGGCTGGGGTTGAGGTAAGATGGCAGCTGAGGGCAGGCTGAGAGGCCTTGCACCTGGGGCAGCTGAGAGAGATTGAGAGAAAGAGAGAGAGAGAGAGAGAGAGAGAGAGAGAGAGAGAGAGAGAGAGAGAGCGCGCGAGCAGGTGAGATGAGGGTGGGGAAATCAGCAGGTCTGGCTTTATGAGCTAGGGAGGGTCAAGGCCGCCATGGTGTCTAGCTGTCATGATGCTGGACTGTGGTTCTTAAAATTAAAAACAAGAAGCGAAAAAAAAATAATAAAAAATTAAAAACAAGAAGCGATGCACCGGGGTGGGCTGGGGGCTGCAGGCGCTGGGGCGTCCGGGGGAGCGTGGGCTGCAGCTCAGGAGACGCAGGGGCTGGGGCTGCTGAGCGGGGTGGTGTGGGGGAATCGGGGTGGTGGGGGTGGTGGCGGAAAGGCAGAAAGAACCAGCTGGATGTATGCTCTCACCACGCAGCCTAACACGCTCTCCGGCTTGTCTTCCAGAAGAGAAGGGCCGGCAGTGAGCCGGGGGCAGAGTGGAGAACTCCAGCGCGGACCTCAGGCTGACGGCGCCCAGCATTCGCCCGCTCCCGCCTGCACCACGCCGGCCACCACGCTCATGAGCCCCACCGACCGAGGCCGCGATGGCCAGGTCCTGTCCCCGTGGCCGCTGTCCCCTCTCCGTCTGCCCAGGGGGCCCTCCTGGGACGTCTGCCCCTGAAGCTTTGGCCCGGGAGGGGCCTGCCCTGAGTGCCCAGAAGGCGGAGCCGGTGGCCAATCCTGAGACGCAGAGCCCCGCACCCCCAAACCCACGAGCACCTCCTTGCTTGGCGCCTGGGCTTTCCGTGGTGCCAGGCTCTCCAGACGGAAAGAGGACTCCTCCAGGCCCCGCCCTTGCTGTGACCTCTCCCTCAGTGCCTGGCCTGGGAGCTGGTCAGCTGGAGGGGGAGGGGGGCCATCTGGGCCCAGCTGTGCACAGGCCACCCCCACACACTCGGCTCCGCTTCCACCACGTCGGCTCCTGAGAGCGTGGGCCTCTCTCTGTTTATGGCGCCGGGAGCTGAGGGGTCAGAGAGAGACAGGCGTGGGGGAAGGAGGCCAGGCCAGGACCTCTCCTGAGAGACAGCCAGCCTGCCCGCCTCTGCTCGGCTCCCTCCTGGACTCAGGGTCTCTGTCCTCGGCAGATGACGCGGGTCCTCTTGCTGCTGCCTTGCCTACCAAGCAGGGCCCGGGTCCGCCCTCTGTGTGCCTGGCCGCGGAGACCTCGGACACCCGGGTCCCTGGCAGCCAGGCCCTCCCACCCAAGCCCACGCCGGCCCATCTCGTGGTCCGCTCGGCTGGGTGATCCTGAGTCCCTGGGCTCTTGGCCCCCAACCCTACACGACGTGGCTCCGAATGGCTCTGAGCAAGGCCCTTCTCTCCCTCTGAGATCAGGTGAGGGAGAGCCTCGGATGGACAGAATGTTCTTGTAACCCAGCTTGTGCCCCTCTGGCAAGAATTAGTTGTAGAAGAAAGCCCCGAGTAAATGACTGTGTCCTCTCCCCACGCCTGTACAAAGTGATTATTTATATGCAATCGAGACTCACATGCCTGTCCTGCCCGCTCACCCACCCCCGCAACCCCAGTCAAGCCCCTTGCCGGCCTTGATGACTAGTGGGCTCCAGGTTCTGTGGCCCCTTCCCCACCCCTCCCCTTGCTCCCAGGTTCTGGCGGGGCTGAGAGAGGCAGAGCTGGGTGGGCCCCTGTGGTGTGGGGCGGGGCAGGGGAGGAAGGGGGGAGGGAGATCTTAGTGGGAGGAGGGAGCGGGCAGGACCTCGCCTGCCTGCTGGCGTGCAGTTTGGTGAAATAAAGGTTGAGTGCCTGGGACACAGGAGGACGTCAGTGTCTGTGTTCCCGGAAAGTGGTCCCACCGTCTGCCCTCATCTACCCAGGGTCCCCCTCCTGTGTCCACCCCCCCCCCCCCCCCCCAGAAAGCCTCAGCGAAGGTCGCAGACTGCCCCCATCGCCAGCAGGGATCCTTGTCTTTCTCTGAAACCAGGCCCAGGAGAGGCCGGCTCCCCGCGGCCTGCTCCTCCCTGGGGCCGCCCCTGCCTGAGTGTGTCCAAAACCCTTCACACAAACGACAGTTCCCAGGTCACCACGGAGGAGCCTGAGGCTGGGAGGCGCTCACAGCTTGCCTGGGGCAGGGCTGGGCCTGGAGCCTGCCTATCGGGGACACAGAGGGCCCCAGGCTTGGCTGCTCTGTCGGCCTGTGACTCCCTGGGTTTTCTCTCGCTCCGTTTCCTTGCCCTCCTCCTCCTCCTCCTCCTTCTCCTCCTCCTGGAGCCCCGGATGCCATCGGCTTCTTGCCCTTCTGAGCCAGCTCCATGGCGCCTCCCGCCCGGGGTCTCCTCAGCCCAGAATCTGGAGCCTCAGCTCCCGAGGCTAGAGGCCCACTCCTGACTCCGAGGGGCCTGCAAACAGCCTGCCCCCCTTCCCCTGGTACCTCCTGCCGGGAGGACTCACTAGGGAAGGTTCCAGACCTTTTCAGCTGCCCTGGGAAGGGACGCAGGTGCAGACGGATCACTGGATGTGCTGGGCTCAGTGCCCACTGAGAATGGGGAGCCCCTTGCTCGGAGAGGAGGAATCCCATGACTGACAGCAGCCAGCCAGCCAGGCGCAGGCCCTTCTGAGCACGGGGTCCCAGGGGCCACACGCCCACCAGGCCAGCTGTGCCCGCAGGAGACAGGCCGGGCCTCGGGGGTGCCCAGGGTTTTGTTGGGGGGCAGGCAGAAAGGCCCTCCAGACCTCTCTGACCACAACACCTCTCCATCCTCCTCGTCCAGCTCCACGCGACGGGCCAGGCAGGGTCAGGGCGCCCCTTACGGACGCGGAGCCCGAGGCCCCCTGAGAGCCTGGCGCTGGCCGGCCGCTCAGAGGGCGCAGGCGGGGCGTGGAGGTGAGAGGAGCCCTGGGGGCTTTCGGAAGCGGTGGGCCCCCTCGGGTGCTCCCAGCAGCCGCCGGGGCTCAGGGCCAGGCCGCCTGGGTCTGGCCTTGTCCAGCCCCAGCCCAGAGCCCGACTGGCCTGGACGGAGCAGCCAAGGTAAACAGAGGCTCCCCACCTCACGGCCGCGCCTGGGGCAGGAGGGAATTCCGGGGCAGGCCCGGCACGCTCCCGCGGGCTCAGAGGTGCAGCTGCCAAATCGCTCGTGGCCTCCCCCTGCCCCCTCGGCCGCCAGGACCTGGTGCTCCCCATGTCCCCACGCTGCTCCCTCACAGGTGGGAGGGACCCCAGGTGGCGCTGCACTGGGAGCAATGAAGGGACAAAAACAGAAAATGGCCGAAATTGGTTTGGCTCAGTGGAAAGAGCGTTGGCCTGCGGACTGAAAGGTTCCCGGTTCGATTCCGGTCAAGGGCATGTACCTTGGTTGCAGGCATATCCCCAGTGGGGGGTGTGCAAGAGGCAGCTGATCGATGATTCTCATCGATGTTTCTAACTCTCTATCCCTATCTCTTCCTCTCTGTAAAAAATCAATAATATATATATATATATATGTGTGTGTGTGTGTGTGTGTGTGTGTGTGTGTGTGTGTGTGTTGTTTTTTTTAAACAAAACAAAACAGAAAATGAAGACCTATGCCCAGACTAGATCCAAACCCAGGTGACCTAGCCACTGTCTTCACCGCAGCCCCCCTCTGGAAACAGCCCAGCTGTCTGTCCGCAGGGGAAGGACAGACGGACAGCCGCGTGTCCACGCCACGGAACGGGCGGCAATAAAAAGGAGCATGCCCATATATGCAGCGGCACGGAGGGCGCCGAAAACCCTGGTGCTGAGTCAGAGAAGCCAGGCACCGGGAGAGCGGATCCTGCGTGAGTCCCCCTCCCTGAGGGTCCAGAACAGCCTGCAGGAGCACGCAGACCCCGGGGGCTGGGGCTGGAGAGGGGCTGGCGGGACAGAGGGAGCATCCAGGAGACGAGTAGGGGGGTCACATGCATTTGCCAAACTCATGCCTTGTGCCAAAACCGGTTTGGCTCAGTGGATAGAGTTCAGCTTGGGGACTGAAGGGTCCCGGGTTCGATTCCGGTCAAGGGCATGTACCTTGGTTTCGGGCACATCCCCAGTAGGGGGTGTGCAGGAGGTAGCTGATGGATGACTCATCGATGTTTCTAACTATCTCTCTCCCTGCCACTCTGTAAAAAAATCAATAAAATATATTTTTAAAACACACACACAAAAAAACCTCACGCCTTGTGTCTGAAATGCGCACGTTTAAGCTGCATGGGAAGTATCCCTTCAGACAGTTTGGTTTGGAAGAAAAAACAAGATGAAGTTGGGGAGGTGGGGGAGGCCTGTGGGTGCCGGGGAGCTGGCATCCTCAGTCAACGGGGAGGCCGCCAACCTCCTGAAGGAGCTCGGTGTGTGAGGGGCAGTGAGGAACCCCACACCCAGGGGCAGGAAGAGGCTGGGACCAGGAGGAGGAGCATTCCAGGGCTGTGTGGGGGCGATGCCTCAGACACTCAGGAGGAGAGGCTCCCGCCGGCCCTGGTCATGGTGGGGGCATAAAGGAAGCCAGAGAAGCAGTACAAGGTCTGAGCAATGGGGAGAAGTCAACTTTGGGGACCCAGGCTGCAGCCACACCTCCCAGGTGCCCACTCCCCCACCACCCCCGGCAGTCTCTGTGAGGCCGGCTCGGGGTCCTGCTCCAGGCTGAGGAGTGCGGCACTGGGTGGGAATAGATGAAATAAAGAGGGCCGGAGACCGGGGTGCCAGGACACAGGCTTTACTGAAGAGAAAGGACCACTGCCGGCTGCTTCCACAGAGAGGGGCGGAAGAGAGCGAGGGCCGGATCCAAGCACCTTTAAGGATAGAGGAAGGGGCTTAGGGCATTCAGCACACGCTGATTGGTGATTAGGGACCTAGGGACTTAGTAATGGGGAGGCGGGGGGGCGGGGGGGCTTAGGGTATTTGGCAGGTGCTGATTGGTGGTTCAGTGCTCAGGAATGTCTGGCTGCAGGTGCAGTTTACATCTGTCCATCAATTGGAGGAAGGGAGGATCTATCAGGTGGCTCCCTGGGACATCAGGGGAGGCCCAGGTGATGGGGGGCGGGGGTTTGGATTGAACCAAGCGAGGCCCAGGTGGTGGTGGTGGTGGGGGGGGTCGTTGCACTGAACTCTGCGGGCAGAGGTGTGGCCCCTGCAGCGATGGAGCTCTCCGAGGCTAAGGAGACCCGGTGGAGCCGGTGTTGACCCCCGAGGGCCCGGGCCGGCCTCCAGGAGGGGCACACGGCCCGTCCACGCTCCCCGAGCCGCTAAATTTAGCCAGGCAGGGGAGGCTGTCCTGCGGCGAGCGCTTGGCAGCACAGCCTTGTCTCCCTACAAGGCCTGGCCGGTGCCCAAGCTGGACACCAAGCCTTTGGGCTTATAAGGCTGGTCTGGAGACACCCAAGTGCCAGAGTCTTGGGGTGGGCTCCGGGCCAAGCTCTCAGACTTTGGGGAGCCTCCTTCCTGGCGACCAGCGGACACTTGCAGAGCCTCGGTTTCCTGGTCTGTGAAACGAGGGTCCTCATGCCTGCCTCCCAGAGCTGATTTTAAAACACCTGCTGGTGGTGAAGGAACCTTGTCCCCATAAACTCTAACCCCTGCCCAGGCTGCTCTTCCCACGGCCAGAATAAGCACAGGTGTCTGACCTGGGGAGGCGGGGGCTGGGGCCAGAGGCAGGAAAGCACAGGCCTCAGACCGAAACGTGCATCGTAGAACCAGTGAAGATAGCCGAAACCGGTGTGGCTCTGTGGATAGAGCATCGGCCTGCAGGCTGAAGGGTCCCGGGTTCGATTCCTGTCAAAGGCATGTACCTTAGTTGTGGGCACATCCCCAGTAGGGGATGTGCAGGGGGCAGCTGATGGATGTTACTCTCTCATCAATGTTTCTAACTCTCTCTCCTTCTCCCTTCCTCTCTGTAAAAAATCAATAAAATATATTTAAAAAAAAAAAAAAAAAAAGGACCAGTAAAGATAGCCCTAGCTGGTTTGGCTCAATGGATAGAGCGTCGGCTTGGGGACTGAAGGGTCCCAGGTTCGATTCTGGTCAAGGGCATGTACCTTGGTTGTGGGCATATCCCCAGTGGGGGGTGTGCAAGAGGCAGCTGATCGATGATTCTCTCTCATCGATGTTTCTAACTCTCTATCTCTCTCCCTTCCTCTCTGTACAAAATCAATAAAATATATTAAAAAAAAAAAAAAAGAACCAGTAAAGATAGACATTGATCTCACCAGTGACTCTTGAGACTTATTAGCAAGAAAATTAGTTTGTCCCTAGCTGGTTTGCTCAGTGGTTATAGCATCAGCCCGCAGACTGAAGGGTCTTGGGTTCCATTCCAGGTACCTAAGTTGTGGCTCAATCCCTGGTCTGGATCAGGATGGGTGTGGGAGGTAACCAATGTCTCACTCACATTAATGTACCTCTCCCTTCCACTCTCTCTAAAAATCAAGGAAAATATATCCTTGGGTGAGGATTAACAACAATAACAAACATTTAAAAAATATATTTTAAAAATTTTTTTAAAAGAAAATTAATTTGGGGAGAGAAAAGTTATTGCTTTTCTTTCTTTTTCTTTTGGGCGTCCTTTGGATGTGATAACATCCCGGATGAGACAGTCCTTCTTACCAGTCTGTTGTGGGTTTTTTTTGTTAATCCTCACCTGTGAATATTTTCATTGATTTAAGGAGAGAGTGGAGGGGAGAAAAAGAGACAGAGAGAGACACATATCAATTGTTTGCCTCCCACACAACATCTCAACCAGGACTGGGATCGAGCCTGCAGCCAGGGTACGTGCCCTTGAACAGGATCGAACCCAGGACCCTTCAGACCGCATGCCGATACTCTATCCACTGAGCCAAACCGGCTAGGGCCTTGCCGATCTGTTTTCTGAGTGTCAGGGTCAGAACTGAGGTCATAACAGCAGCATGTGTGTGTGCCTCAAGCAAATATGTCTGAGTGGCTATGGGGCCCCCCTGGAGCCTGGACCCACCCCCTGAAAGGCCTGGGCTGGCCTCCAAGAAGGGCACAGACCCCTCCACACTCCGCAGCGCTGTTAAATTTAGCCAGACAGGGAGGCCGTCAGCCCATTTGTCCATCTGCCCATCAGCAAGCCTGGATCCTTGGAGGAGAAGGAGAAGGGGGAGAAGGAGGGGAGGGAGGAGGGGGGCAGAGGAGGAAGGGGGGAGGAAGGAGGAGGGGTAGAGAAGAAGGAGGAGAAGGTGATAGAGGAGAAGGAGCAGGAGGGGGAGGTAATAGAGGAAGAGGAGGAGGAGGAAGAGGAGGAGGAGGAGGAGGAGAGGGAGGAGGAGGGGGAGGGGGAGGAGGAGGAAAAAGAGGAGGAGGAGGAGGAGGAGGGGGAGGAGGAGGAGGAGGAGGAAAAAGAGGAGGAGGAGGAGGAGGAGGAGGAGGAGGGGGAGGAGGAGGAGGAGGAGGAGGGGGAGGAGGAGGAGGAGGAGGAGGAGGGGGAGGAGGAGGGGGAGGAGGAGGGGGAGGAGGGGGAGGAGGAGGAGGAGGAGGAGGAGGGGGAGGGGGAGGAGGAGGAGGAGGGGGAGGAGGAGGAGGAGGGGGAGGAGGAGGAGGAGGAGGAGGAGGGGGAGGAGGAGGAGGAGGAGGAGGAGGAGGGGGAGGAGGAGGAGGAGGAGGAGGAGGGGGGGGGGGAGGAGGAGGAGGGGGGGGAGGGGGACGAGGAAGAGGAGGAGGAGGAGGAAGAGGAGGAGGAGGAGGGGGAGGAGGGGAGGAGGAAGAGGAGGAGGAGGAGGAGGAGGGGGAGGAGGAGGAGGGGGAGGAGCAGGAGGAGGAGGAGGCCAAGGTAATGGTATGAAAGGGACAGGCACAGATTGGAGGATGACTGCCTGACTTCCCTCCCTCTCCCCCTCCCCTTTGCCCCTTCCTCCCTTATTTAGCACCCGCCGCCCTCCGGAGCGTGGTGTGCCAGTGGGGACGTGAGTGGAGTGGGACACAGACGGCTCAGACACAGTGTCAGCGTCCTCCCGACTCCCCATTGCAAGCAGTTCGTGTCCTGAGCCTGCTCCTCCCAGTGCCATAGGTCAGCTGGGAAGGCGACGGGCCCTTTTGTCCGGGGTCATGACCGGGCCAAGGGGATGAGACCGCCACAGCTCTGACTCCCAGCATCTCTGGATTTTTTCTTAGAAAAAAAAACCCAGGATGTGGTTCTCGCCGGCCCTCTTGGAGATGGCGTCTGGCCGACTGTTGAGCTTGAGATGGGCAGGAACTCGGTGTAGGGTGAGGCGGAGCTATTTGACAGGGTGACTGGCCTGGGGTGCGGGATGGGGCCCCCTTGTCGTCCAGAAAGTGGCTCTGCTCAGACAGGCAGCTGGGGTTCCCAGCCCGGGCCTGGCTCCTCGCCCAGAGCAATTTCCCAGCTCCAGGCCTGCCAGGAAGAAGACTCCTATCAGCCTTCAGGCCGAGGCAGCTCGGACGTGGAGGACACAGCGGCTCCGAGGACACCCAGCCTCACCCCCCAGCTTCCATGGAGGGAGCCGGGGACCTCCGGGGCAGGCAGCGGGGATTGCAAGCTGGCCTGGAGGCTTTCTTGCTTCCAGCCGGGTCCCTCAGTACAGCCCAGGGTGAGCCTGGGCAACTCCCGTGTTCTCTCTGAGCTCCTTGCTCTTTGTTTCTTGTTCTTAAAATGTGTATTTATTAGCGTGAGAGACGGAGGAAGACCCGTTTGTGGTTTCACTTATTTATCTATGGGCCTGGCAGGGAATTGAACCAGCAGCACTTCGGGACCCAGGGTGATGCCCGGCCAGCCGAGCCACCCCAGCCAGGGCAGCTCCACGTTCTTTGTCTGCAACAGGAGGTGGGGATGAGGAAGGCCTCCGAGAGCTAACGGGGATCCCCCACCCTAACCCAATCCTGGGAGCCCCTGCCTTCGGGGCCTGCACTGGGGTGAAGGGCGGGAGCTGAAGAGGGGCTGCCTGCCCCCCAAGCTCCACAGTGGCCTCAGGCTCTCTGAACTCAGTGTCATCAGGACACATCCCCCCCGGGAAATCCCATCGTGGTTCCCATTTCTCAGATAAGGAAGCAGGCTCAGAGAGGGGCTCAGAGAGGACGGGCAAGCCCCCCAAACCCCCCAGGCAGCACGTGGCAGAGCCAGGGATGGTAACCGAGCCCGTTTGATGCCAGGCTTTCTGGCTGGGTCTCGGGGCACCCATGGCGATGTGCACCAGATGTGGCCCTCGCCTGGCCTGGCCTGGCCCCTGCCCCTGCCCCCCTCTGCTCATCCGGGAGGTGGAGGTGTGGCTGGGGCAGGACCGACGGTGGAAGGGGCCAGGGGTGGAGATGCCAGCCTGACGCTGAGGGTGCCTGGGCCGGGCCGGGCTTGGATGCAGGGACGGTGGATGGGTAGCCGAGGACAGGGGTCGGGGGTCCTGCTGGGGCGCAGGAAGTGTCAGGCCGCTGGACCGGAAGGGCCCCCTTCCTTGTCTGCGGTCCTGCCTGCAGGCCCCGGGGCTGAAGGTGGGGAGGATGTTTGGCTCTGGGGCTGGGTCCCCGGTGTGGGGAGGGCTCCGGCCTGCAGTCACTCCAACGCCCGGCTCACGGGGGGCTGGCGGCTTATCTGCGCCTTGTGATGGGTGGCCGTGGTTTCCTGCCAACAGCTTCTGTTTCCGGAGGCCCCGCGGGGCCCGGCGTGCCGGGGCGGAGCCAGCGGGGCAGCGCCGGGCCTGGTGACCCTGCCAGCTCCGCCCCCGTCCATCTTTGGGAATTTATTTGTCCACAGGCTCGGCTGTCCCTCAGTCCATTGCCTGCCAGGGACCCAAAGCTGCTCTGGTCACCCAAGGGTCCTCCCTCCCAGCCCAAGCGCCTGCCGCTGACCTCTGACTCCCGACCTCTGGCCCCACCTGCCCGGCCTGCCCCGGGCCAGGGGCAGGGAAGCCCCTGGACACCGCGGTAGCCGTGGTGGTTGCGCAGCCAGGGAGCCGGGGCTGCGCGGGGCCCGGCCCCCGCCCCGGCCGCCATGGCGCGGCGGCTGCAGGACGAGCTGGCCGCCTTCTTCTTCGAGTACGACACGCCCCGCATGGTGCTGGTGCGCAACAAGAAGGTGGGCATCATCTTCCGCCTCATCCAGCTCGTGGTGCTGGTCTACGTGGTCGGGTGAGTCCGGGCCCCTCCCTGCCGCCCTCTGTGCCAGGCCTGTGCCCTCTGGGCTCCGGGAGGCCTCCCCGGGGGCCCCCCGGGAGCCCCTCGTCCTTCCCACTGGTGGTCATCCTTCCCGACAAACCTGGGGCCGGTGAGGCAGCATGGGAGCCAGTGGGAGACACTGAGTGAGGTACAGAGTGGGGGACCCCCCCCTACCCCCAGTGCTGGGTCACCTGGGCAACGAGGGCAAACCCGCTGGATTCTGTGGGACAGACTCGCTAGGACTGGTTCCCTGAAGCGAGGTGTGTGTGTGTGTGTGTGTGTGTGTGTGTGTGTGTGTGTGTGGCTTCGGGGCCAGGGCCCTGTGAGCCGCAGCCAGGGCCCTCTACCCTGTACCCCACAGCAGAGCCAGGCCATCCTGAGGCAGAGCCACTCCCACCGGCTCTGCCTCCAGGAGAGGCCCCGGGGTATGTGAGAACGCCTGTGCCTGATGGGGGCATGCCAGGCAAAGGTTGGAGGTCATTCTGGCCCAGGGATGGCAGCTCCTTTCTGGGCCTCGTGGGCCTGTCCATTGTCCCAGGAGTTCAGGGGCGGGAGCAGGGGCAGCCTCCCCTGCAGCCTGGGTGTTCCAGGGACCGTGCATGGCCGTCTTCCCGAAATCAGTCTGGCTGCCCGGGAGCCAAGGCCGGCTGGCAGGGGCTTGCACACATCTGTGCTTGTGTGAACACACGTGTGTGTGTGTGTGTGTGTGTGTGTGGTGTGTGTGGATGCATGTGTCGTACCCAGAGCTCTGTGTGGGTACATGTGCCCTCATGTGTCAGTGTGTGCCCAATGGGTGTATCTGCTGGGTGTGTCCCTGGGACGGGGCGCCCACCTGTGCATGCCCCGTGGCTGAGGTGGCTGGATGCCTGGTGCATGTGCCCCTGATGGGGGTAGGGGGTGGCCATCATGTCAGTCTTCAGAGGGCTCTGAGGGGAGCTCAGCCCCTGCTGGGGAGTCTGGGGGCGCCTGGCAGCCCCGGCCTGACTTTGCTGTGTGTCCGGAGGGCCCTGCCCCTCTGGTCTCCGTGTCCCCATGTTTGCTGGGACCAAACCAGGACTGCTGACTGAGCCCAGGAAGCTTAAGAGGCCTGTTCCCTCAGGGCCTCTGGCATCCAACAGCCTTCCCTCTGCCCCACCTGGACCTCAAGGCCTGAAAGCGGTCAGGTGCAGCCAGGGCTGACAAAGGACCCCTCCCGGCTCCTCGCTCCTGTTCCCACCCGTTTGGCATCTGCAGTGTCGTCTGAGCTTGTGGGGGAAATCAGGGCTCAGAGAGGAGCAGTGGGGGTTCCTGTGAGAGCTGAGGCCTCCTGACCCCCGGGCCCGGCTCTGCCTCTCCGTTCCCACCTACGAGGGCCCCTTTCTAACGGGCCCTGATGGCGTGCTGCCCGGCACAAGCCAGGCTGAGCATCCACCTCAGGGAGAGAGCGGTGGCTTGCCCACCCCTCACCCGGAGGCGGGAGAATGCTGTCCTCTGTGGCCTGTGGCGCCCCCTGTCTGCCAGGGCCCACTGGTGTGACTGTCAGAGGGAAAGGGACGGTCCTCCCACACCCCATCCCCGCTGCAGCGTATGCCTCAAGCCACCCTCAGTCCTGAACACAGACCTCCAGGGATGGGGCCTCACTACCTCCCTCTCCCCTCCCCCCCTTTCCCCCTTCCTAACACGGGCGACTCCGTTTCCAAATAGGTGTGGCCTCCTCAGCATCAGTGAGGCTCAGAGACACTGCGTGACTTAGCCTGGACCGACCTCACGGCTAGAAAGGGCTGAACCAGGACTGGAATCCAACTGTGTGCTCCAAAGTCGGCCTTGATATCCTGGAAGGGACACCCACTCAGGGACAGGGACTGACCACCGAGTCACAGAGCAGAGCAGGAAGGCAGGGTGCCTCCTGCACCCCTCAGCCCCACCCTCCAGTCCAGAAGTCTAGCCTTCCACCCTTCCACCACCCCTGCTTGGGCTGGGGCTCCTGCTGTCTCTGGCGCCCTCGTCTGGCCAATGCCCACAGCTGCAGACTGAGGGCTCTGGATTTGGTTTTACTCTCCGTCTTCAATTTCCCAATTTCCTCTCCCAGGGCGCTGGGGTGGGGAAAACGCTTCTCAAGGCATGCACCGAGGTTCAACGGTTTCTCTCTCCTGAGAAAGGATGGCCTTTTTTCAATCACACACACACACACACACACACACACACACACACCACACACACACACCCCGCTCTCCAAGGCCCCTGTCTGTCCGTGTCTGGTCCTGAGGGTGTTGCAGGAGAAATGCCAGGCTCCGGACACCAGAGACAGCGACACAGCCCAGGTGGGGGATGGGCGGCCACAGAGACAGAGCCAGACAGAGGGACATTGGAGGACGACCACTCAGATGAAGAGAGAGGCTCTGAGCCTTAGAAACGGGGAGAGTTACTGAGAGGCAGGCAGGGAGGCCAAGGCGGAACGGAGGCTGTGTTCTCTCTCCGGCATCGTGCTGGGGAAGCCAGGGGCAGGAGGAGGGAGCAGGTGGGCCTGAGGCCCCGATAGGCTGTGCAAAGACTTTTTTTTTTTTTTTTTTGGCTCAAATTTGGTTACTTCATCGTGGCATTTCTCCTGGGCAGCAATGAGTGCTCCATAACTGGAGGTGTGCAGGCAGAGCGGCTGCCGTCCACGATCTCGCAGGCCCATAAAAGGGTGTGCTGAGACATGTCCCCGCCTGGGGTGTTCTGGTCAAGCGGGGAGAACGATCTTTCCGGGGCACACAGGACAGTCCGAGGGGACTTGCGAATGCTGCTTGGGGAGGGGGGCATGGAAGGCTTCCTGGAGGAGGTGACCCAGTGGTAGAACCAGCCTTGAACTTTTCCTCAGGCCCCCCCTGGGCCTCCTCTCACCTCAGCCCTCACCCCTTCCCTGTGCACCCACAGACAGCTCTTGAGTCAAGCGCTCCTGAGAACTCCAAATGGATCCAGGGGCACACCGGCCAGGGATGAGAGCAGATACCAATCCATACCGGGAGAAATGTGTCTGGAGACATTTCTTTTTTGTTGTTAGTCCTCACCCAAGGACATTTTTTTCTCTATTGGTTTTTTAGAGAGAGTGGAAGGGAAGGAGGGGGGGAAAAGAGAGAAAGGTGTGAAGAGGCAGCAGTGATGAGGTTGCCTCCTGTACACACCCTGACCCAGGCTGGAATCAGGCCTGCAACCCAGGTACATGCCTTTGACCAGGAATCAAACATGGACCCTTCGGTCTGAGGGCCAACGCTCTAACCACTGAGAAACCCAGCCAGGGCTGAAGACATTTCTGCAGCAGCTTTTCCATGCCTGGTGCCGTGTCGGCCTTCCTGGGACGGAGGTGGGGGCGGGGCAGGCAGAGGGAGAACAAGGAGATGAACTGGAACTTACGGGTGAAAGGAATTAGCCAGAACTCCTTTGGTTCCTAGAGAGTAAAACGGATCCAGCTGTATGAGTGTAGCTGAGAAGGCGATGCGGGCCTCAGGCCTGCGGGGTCCTCCATGGAGGCCTCAGGGGGAGCAGGCTCTGCCTCTCCCACCCAGGAGGCGAGGTGTACAGACTGGTCCCGACTGGGCTCTCCAGGGAAGCTAGCCAGGACTCACTCCTTCGGCCCCGGCTCTGCTCCCCTCCGCAGGCTTCAGCCTCAGCCGGCTCTCTGTCCTCCAGGCAGAACGGTCCCCAGCTGACATCCCAGCAGCTGAGCCTCCCCTGGGGCACATCTCCTTCCCCGAGTTCCAGCGCAAGTCCTGGGTCCACCGCTTCCTGGCCTCGGTTGGGTCCTGACCCAACTCAGAAACGATCGCGGTGGGCAAGGGAGTGAATGCCCTGATTGGTGGAGCCCGGCTGTGTGCCCGCCGCCTCCAAGCAGGGCTGCTGGGAAGTGTGATCAAAGGTCCCGGGGCAGGAAAGGAGCGAGGCCGCCCTGGCCAGGGCGGCTCAGTAGCTAGAGTGTCAGCCGGAGAACAGAAGGGCCTGGGGTTTGATTCCCTGTCAAGGGCACCTACCTCAGCTGCAGGTTCGATCCCTGGCCCCAGTTGGGGTGTGATCAGGAAGCAGGAGGCAACCAATCGATGTTCTCTCTCTCTCTCTCTCTCTCTCTCTCTCTCTCTCTCTCTCTCTCTCTCTCTCTCCCTCTCTTCTCCTCTCCTCTCCCTTGTCCTACCTCCCTTTTATTCTCTCTAAAAAATTAATGGAAAAAGCATCCTCAGGTGAGGATTAAAAATAATAATAATAAAGAAAGGAGCTAAGGGAGAGGAAATGGAGGAATGAGTGGGGCCACTGGCTCAGGCCTCTGAACCCGGCTGAGCAGCGTGGGCTTTCTCCTGCTGGCAGCTTTCTCTGGACGGGGGAGGCCTGGGGCGGGGGGGCAGGTGCTGGGACCCAGGTGGAGGCCAGAGGCAGGACAGCTGTGAAGAGGCAGCAGTGATGAGAGGATGAGGCCAAGGCAGAGGCAGTGAGTGTGGACAACAGAGGTCATCACCCTGGCAGGCCGGGGTGGCCACACTCAGCTCCTGCCCCTCGCTGCTGCATGAGGCATGTGCCCAGCACGGCCAGAGTTTCTGCCTTCTTAGGAGCAGTGGGAAACTGGAACTTACAAGTGAAAGGAGCCTCTTTGTTTTCGGAGGTTGGAAACTCATTCGAAAAATTAAAAACAAATTATCAGCGTGACTTGCCTGTAGACTGCATGCTGATCAGCCTCTGAACCCCAGCACGGGCCCCAGCTCTGAACTCAGCTCCTTCCCGGTTCAGAGTCTGCTCTGCCCCACAGCTCCTGTGAGGTCTGGTCAGCTCCTGCCTGTGGCTGAGCTATACCATGCCCTCCCAGCCCACAGCCAGAGCTGCCCCAGCTCCTCCCAGCTCCTCCCTCCCAGCTCCCACAACAAACCCCTCCGGCCCTTAGAGGAAAGCCAGGGGCGGCCAGGAGAGACCAGAGAATGGGCATGAAGGACAGGAAGGCGGGAGGATGATGCCTGGGTTTTGGGCCTGGGGACGGGGCACCAGAGGAGCAAGTTCTGTGAACACGTGAGGCATTCTCGTTGGTCCTGTTGAATTTTTACTTCGAGATATAATTCACATGCTATCACATTCACCATTTTAAACTATACCATTTGGTGGGTTTTAGCGTAGTCACCAATTTGTGCAACCATCACCACTATCTAATTCAGACATTTTCGCTATTCAACCTCCCCCCACCCCGACCCCTGTGCCCCTCAGCAACCACTCCCCTCCCCTCCCATGCCCCTTGCCTACCCTGGCCCTGCTCCAGAAGTACAGTCATACAGTGCGTGTGCTGGCTCTCCCCCCTGGCGCACCGTCTGTGAGGCCCGTCGGGTTGTAGGGTGAATCGGTACTCCCTCCCGCTGCGGCTGGATGAGATCCCGCGGTGGGTGCCATGCACCCACGTTGTTTATCCACTCATTGGGTCAAGGACATCTGGGTTGTTTCCACTTTGTTTTCCCGTGAAGAACGTTGCTGTGGACATTCGTGTGCATGTTTTCGCCTGGCCATATGTTGTCAGGATACCTATAAATGGAACCGCTGGGTCAGGTGGAAATTCCATGTCGACCTTTACGACGGAAAGCTGACTTTTCCAAAGGGTCGGCTTAGGCCGGAGGACGCTGTGCGGTGTCTGGGGTGGGGCCGGGGCAGAGGGAAGGGATGTGTGTCGCCCAGCAGGGAGGGCAGGCTTTTGGGTTGTTTTGTTCACGCCTGTGTTTTTAGTGCCTAGAGAAGTGCTTGGCACAGAGTAGGGCAGGGGTGGGGATGGACAGCATCGTTCAGGGGCCATGCACATTTATCAATGCAAAAACTAGCCTGCTATAATTGGTCAGACATTAATTAGCTCGCCCCTAATGCCGTGGCAGGGCCGGACAAAATGATTTACCGGCCTTACACGGCCCGAGGGCCTGAGGTTCCGTGTCCGTGTTCCCCCCTTCCCCCCGTAATAGGGGCTCGGCTCGATGAGTAAATATTTGTCGGATGACAAATGGATGCGTGGCATTGCATTTCAGGAGAGAGTAAACAAGTGGAGGCGGGAACCCTGGGGCACGATGGGTCTGTGAGAGCTCGCACGGGGCTCTGTCTGGGCTGGGGGTGGAGGCCAGGCCGATGGGGCAGGTGGACATTTAAAGAATGAGTGAAGGAAGAGCAGGGACCGTGAAGACGGGAGACTGACTTGCTGTGTGCCTGTGCCTGCTAATTCATCGAATGGAACTCATAGGGATCCCCAAACAATCAAACCACCACCCCCTCAAGCGTGGCCGGGCCCTGCTTGTGTTTGCTGAATGAACCGTCTTGGTGGGAGGTGTCACCACCCCCGTTTTACGGAGGAAGCCAGGGCTCAGAGAGGGTCCGTCTGCGGCCAGAAGCCACGCAACGGCGAGTGGCAGAGCTGGTGCCGGAACCTCGTGCGGCCTCCTCCATGAGCGGCCCCTGGAGGAGAGAGGCAGGGTGTTGCTGAACATGAGGTAAATAGAACAGGGAAGAGAACTTCTGGGAGGGGAGGAGCTTCAAAAACTGCCAGAGTTTTGGGCATGAGGTGCCCATGGCTTCCCAGAGTGGAGACAGCAAGGCTGGGTGTGGGTTTGGGGGAGTGAGCCTGGCACCGAGGTCATTCTGCTCTCAGAACTGAGGTCACAGGTGTCAGGTTTTATCTTTCCCATTGACCCCAGGACTGACGGCCCCAGGGCATAAAACCAAGAGTGTCTGCACAGCAGCCCCAGCGTGCAGCCTCCTGTGCCTCTGCTTCCTCCCCCAGCCCCGCACTTCTGGCTCCTGGCCGCGCCTGACGCTCAGCGGAGGGGCAGAGTCCCGGGCTGCGGGCCCTGAGCCTGGGGCTCCCTCTGACGGGGGAGATGTTCCCCAGGCCTCCATTTTCTCATCTATGTTGTAAGGAGGTGGCGTGGGGCAAAGAGAGAAATGCTGCTGGGCACTGGGGGGCCGGGGGGCCCAGAGAGAGGCTGGTGGCCTCCTCTGCAGCTTGGGCACAAAGCCAGAGGCCATCCTGAAAGAAGCAGTCGGAGGAGGGCGGGGCCTAGGTGATGGAGGCAGTGAGACAGGTTCAGGACACAGAACTGGGGGGCTTTGTCATGTCCCTGTTGCCTCCTGGGACCTGCAGGGGGCAGCAGTGACCCTGCTTGGGCACGGGGTTGGGGAGGAGGGATTGGCTCCAGGGTCTGGCAGGAGGAGGGGCCTGCAGAGAGAGGAATGGACTATGGGAGGAGAGAGGAGGACGTTGGTGGGCTGCCTTCCTGCAGCCTGGACCAGGGAGCCAGCTCCTAGAGAGCTAGCATGACCCTGGGACGAGGAGGCCTGGAGAATCCCGTTACCGGGCGCGGGAGAGGGGCTTTGAGTCTGCTTGGACAGGCAGACAGAGGGTAGAGTGACAGAGTGAGGGGTGAAGGGGGCTTAAATAGACCTGCCCATAGATGCGCTCACAGATTTGTCCTGGGGATACGAAGCCACAAACTCTGATGGGCACCATGGACACCACGCACGCAGACACACACACACACACACACACACACACACACAACACACACACACACACACACACACACACACGTACAGGAATCTGAGGAAGAGAACCACGCTCCGGACACAAGTGTTTCCAGGACTGTCGGTTGTAAGATAAGAAGAAGCCAAAACCAAACTGGTTTACATAAAGGAAGGGGATTTATTAGCTCATCTATAATAATAAAAGCGTAATATGCTGATTAGACCGGACGTCCTTCTGGATGAAGCCGGGGCTGCAAGGGAAGCCCTGGTCCCGGGGGCCTGAGGGAAGCCGGTGCCGGCAGCCGGGGGAAGGAAGGCCTATGCTCGCACCCGGATTTTGTGCTTCGGGCCTCTCGTGCAACTGAAAAGTCCAGAAGTAGATGGCTCATGCTTTAGGTATGGCTGGGTCCAGGTGCTAAAACAACCTGGTAGGGGTCTGCCACACACACCCCCCTCCCCACCATCTCCTGGCCTGGCTTTCTCTACGTTGGCATCATTCTCACGCGTGCCCTGTGAGGCAGCAGAGATAACTCACCACAGTTTGCTCTTGGAGCCACCTTGCTTAGCAGGGAGGACGTCTTTCCCCCAATAATTCCCAGAAAAACCCTCGCCTCCCTGCTGGCACTCCCAGGGCATGTGCTCACCCTTAGACCCATGGCCGTTGCTAGGGTGATGGAACATGGATTGGCATGTGCCTACCCCTGGGGCTAAGAGGGAGGTGGGCCCCGCAGAACCTTCCGGATTGAAAGTGGAGAATGCATAGGAAGAGGGGTTCCCGGAATGCTGGGAAGAGAAGGCAGGATTCCCCAGGAAGGCTGGGCGGCCTCCAGCCCGAGCCACTCCCACGAGGTCCGTGACTGGGGCCGGAGGCTGCCAGGCGTTCTCTGTGGGAGGACCTCAGGGAGGAAGGAGAACTCCCCTGAGGACTGGGGTTCAAGACGCTTGGCCTTCAGGCACCAGCAAATTCTGCTCTTGGAAAAGGACCTGACAGAGCCCTTCAGTGGGTCTCCTCCCGGGAATAAGTGTTTTCAGAGTGAAAAGAATGGTGGAACTTCAAAAAAAAAAATGCATCTTTTAAAAAATATATTTTTATTGACTTCAGAGAAGAAGGGAGAGGGAGAGAAAGAGAGAGAACCATCAATAATGAGAGAATCATTGATCAGCTGCCTCCCGCACACCTCACACTGGAGACTGAGCAACCCAAGATGTGCCCTCCTGGTTCATAGGTTGATGCTCAACCACTGGGCCATGCCGGCCATCTTGAGAGGCCAAGGGAAAGAAAGGCCTTGGCCCGTCCGGCCGGTGCCAGCTCACGCCATCCTCGAGCGACCCCTTTGCCCACTCTCCGCAGGTGGGTCTTTGTCTATGAGAAGGGCTACCAGACCTCGAGTGGCCTCATCAGCAGCGTGTCTGTGAAACTCAAGGGCCTGGCCGTGACGCAGCTCCCGGGCCTGGGCCCCCAGGTCTGGGACGTGGCTGACTACGTCTTCCCAGCCCAGGTGAGCTGGGTCCGTCCAGGGATGCACCTTCCGCCCAGAAGTCCTGGCTCAGAGCTGGGCTGGGGTCCTCCCCACCCCATCCCCCCCCCCCCCCGCCACCTCCCTCCTATCCCCTCCCCCCTCCTCCCCCTCCCCCGTGGGACCATCAGCTCCTACTCGCTTGGGCTTCCGTGTCCCTAACGTGGATGCCCGGCACACACAGCCTGCTCCGATCACCGCACGCTGCCTCGGGGGTGGGGGCGGGGGCGGTATGGAGGATTGTGCTGCGTGTGGTGTGGGCGCTGGGAGCTCTGGGCGGTGCTTGGTTCTTGGGGCCGTTGTCCCGGCTCAGAGCCCTGCCGCTCCCTTCCAGGGCGACAGCTCCTTCGTGGTCATGACCAATTTCATCGTGACCCCCCACCAGGCCCAAGGCCACTGTGCAGAGGTGAGGCGGCCGACCACCCCCCTCCTTCGCCCCAAGGGGAAGGTCACCGGGAAGAGGAGGGGAAGCTGGGGGGGCTCCCTGCGGGGGCCGCAGTGGGGGGGGGGGGTCTCAGGCACAGGTTCACACAGAGGAACAGGCCACCTTTGACCCCGCCGGGGCTCCCCTCCCAGCTGCGTGCCCCGCAGGATGCTGGGCCTCTGTGCCAGCCCAACCCCAAGCCCCCACCTCCCACCCCTGCCAGCTGGCATCAGCAGCTGGGCCTGAGCCCCGAGGGGGGATGGAGGCCATCAGCCAGGGTCACCCCAAAGGTACCTTTGACGCTGCCCCACGCCCTCTCGAGGGCCCCGGGGCTGGGAGGGCCTCTTCTCAGGACCCCAGCCCAGGGGCCTGGAGCCAGTAGCTCTCCCCTCCCCCAGCATCCAGAAGTGGGCGTGTGCACGAACGACAGTAACTGCACGTCAGGGAAGGCGGAAAGGAAGTCCCAGGGTAAGGAGCCTTCTCCCGCCCCTCCTCAGCCCCTTCCAGCTCCGGGCTGCCCCCACCAGCCCGCCCTTTCCGCCCTCCCGCCTCCCGCCATCCTGCCCTGGGCCCGCCCTGTCCCAGACCCCGCTGCACTCCTGTCCTCCGGCTTCTGCTTTGGGGAGCCTCATCCAGGGGGAGTCTTAGGGAGGGAGCCTCGGGGGGGGGGTCTCCCCTGCCCCCAGCTGCACCCAGGTCTGTCTCCCTTCCTCCAGGCATCCGCACAGGCAAGTGTGTGGCCTTCAATAACACCGTGAAGACATGTGAGATCTTTGGCTGGTGCCCCGTGGAAGTGGATGACAGCATCCCACGGTAACGCCCGCTCCTTCCAGGGAGCTGGGAGCCCAGACAGAGGGGATCTGTACCCTTCAGAGGGCCAGGCCCCCCCCGCTTCCAACCCTCCCCTGTCTCCATCTGTGCAGCCCAGGCCAAAGACCCCCTGGGGCCCTGGTCAGAGGGCCTGAGAGTCCACCATTCCAGCACCCACCCCACCCCAAAGCCACGGGAGGGTGCACCCCCCGACACACACACACACCTTGCTAAGCTCTGCTGGGCGCTCGGGGTGCTGCTGGGGAGGGTGGTGAGTAGGTGTGGTCTCCTTCAGCCCCGCCCTTCTCCGAGAGGCAGAGAACTTCACGCTCTTCATCAAGAACAGCATCAGCTTTCCGCGCTTCCAGGTCAACAGGTGCGTGGGAGAGCGGGCGGCGGCGGGCAGGGGGCTCCGGGAGGCCGCGTCTGCCGGCCTCGGCCGCCTGGCACCCCTGCCCCTGCCGCTTCCTCTCCGGGCCCCCGGGTGGAAGGGGCCTTTCCGGGGCCCACGAGGGATCCGCGGGGCTTCGGGGAGTGGTGGGCACCTCCCAGCTGGCACCGTGCCGCTGCCAACGCCCTCTGCCTCGTAGGCGCAACCTGGTGGACGAGGTGAATGCCACCTACCTGAAGCACTGCCTCTACCACAAGACCTCCCACCCGCTGTGCCCCATCTTCCACCTCGGCTACGTAGCGCGCGAGTCGGGCCAGAGCTTCAGCACGCTGGCCGAGAAGGTACTGTGCCAGGCGAGCAGGGAGGGCTGGGCCTGGGATCAGCCAGCCAATCGAGGCTTCTCGGGCCCACTTAACCCGCCCCCAGCTCCCTGTGTGGGATGAGGATGGTGGCTTATCCTCTAATGCCCGGAGGCAGGGTCAGGCCTGTCTCCTCAGCGGGGCCTGGCGTGCGGTGGCACCGAGGAGGCGCCCAGAATGAACGGGCTTGGGCAGATGTGGACATCGGGGTGTCTGCTGAGATCCCGCTGTTTTTAAAATAGCAGATAAAAGCAGCTTGAGCCGAAACTGGTTTGGCTCAGTGGATAGAGCATCGGCCTGCGGACTGAAGGGTCCCAGGTTTGATTCCGGTCAAGGGCATGTACCTTGGTTGCGAGCACGTCCCCAGTAGGGGGTGTGCAAGAGGCAGCTGATCAATGATTCTCTCTCATCGATGTTTCTAACTCTCTATCCCTCTCTCTTCCTCTCTGTAAAAAATCAATAAAATATATATATATAAAAAAAAAAGCAGCTCAAATCCCACAGCCCTTGGCCCTGGGAGACCCTGGGAATTCCAGAGGGCCAGCTCCCTGCCGACCCCTGGCTCTGAGAAGCATGAGGAAGAGCCGGTCTTGTGGGAAACTGGGGGAACTGCTGTGCAAAGGCCCCACAGTGGGGGAAACTCCGTGTGTTCTAGAAAAGCTGGAGGGCGGTGGGCGGGAGGCGGGGCCAGAGAGGGTGACAGGCCTCACACGGAAGCCCTTTCTCAGCATCTCTTGCCAAGCCCCGGCACGCTCCCTCTTCAAGAGGCAGCGTCCCGCCCCGAACCCCCAGGGCTGAGCGCCGTGTCCCCACAGGGCGGCGTCATCGGCATCACCATCGACTGGAACTGCGACCTGGACTGGCACGTGCGGCACTGCAAGCCCATCTACCAGTTCCACGGGCTCTACGAGGAGAAGAACCTGTCTCAAGGCTTCAACTTCAGGTGCCTGCCCGCCCCCCTCCCCCACCGGGCACGTCCCTGGGGGTCCTGAGGGCGTTTCTGTTCCCAGAACCCTCAGGGCCAAGCAACTGTCGGGGGGGGGGGGGGGGGGAGCCAGGAGCCCGGGGAGCTCCCGTCGTCCGGGGGTAATCACGCAGGGAGCCAGCAAGGAGCAAGACCTCGGAGGCCTGAGCCCTGCCCTGCTCTTGGTCCCCAGGAAGCCCCCTGGGCAGGACCGGCTGGGGCATGGCTGCCTGTGGAGTCAGGGGGAGGGGGGAGTACAGCATTCCTGGCACGAGGCCGGGGTCCCCCTCTCTATAATGTGGGGGGTACTATCCTCATGGGCCCCGAAGGCCCTGCATCCCTGATGCTCTGGGAGCTCCCCACCAAGGATGCTTCTCCACCATCCCCGCTGCAATCTCACTTCTCCCCCAGGTTCGCCAGGTACTTCGTGGAGAACGGGACCAACCACCGGCACCTCTTCAAGGTGTTTGGGATTCGCTTCGACATCCTCGTGGACGGCAAGGTGAGTGGCGGCAGCGTGAGGGGCAGCCAGGACGGCAAGGTGAGTGGCGGCAGCGTGAGGGGCAGCCAGGACGGCAAGGTGAGTGGCGGGCAGCGTGAGGGGCAGCCAGGACACGCTCCGGGCCCTGGGAGAGCCGGCTGGGCCTCTGTGGTTCCAGGCGACTGGAGGTGGTGGGCGGCCTTCGGCAGTTCTCCCAATAGCATATGGGTGGGTGCAGTTGATGGTGGCCTTCGGCTGTGACCACACCTCCCGCACTGTCTCCCTGAGTCCAGCTAGGCAGAGCCAAGGTTAACCCCAGGTCTCTGACCAGCCTCTGATCCGCCATGTAGAGGCAGACCCTGGGCAGCAGGCAGTGGGCCAGCAGACAGTGGAAGGGACACTGCCTGACCCCAGGCCTGGCCTTAGGGCTTCTGAGAAAAGACCTTTCCACCTGGGCCCCTGCTGACTGCTAACCCTTCTCCCTCCCCCCCACCAGGCTGGGAAGTTTGACATCATCCCCACAATGACTACCATCGGCTCTGGGATTGGCATCTTCGGGGTGGTAAGTGCTGGGGACATGGGGTCACTGTGCTGGGGTCAGATCCCCTCTTCCACATCTCAGTGACAGCAACAAGTTGCTCAGCCCATAACTTGACTGTAATTGTCCATCTTTACTGAGCCCCCTACCCCAGACACAGAATGTGTCTGAAGAAACTGAGGCCCACAGTGGGCAGGACCCAGGGGGGTGGGCAGTCTCGGCTCCGCGAGGGGCTTCAGGGCCTCACCCCCTCCAGGATGCCAGTCTGGATAGGGCAGGATTGGGTCAGGGCCTCACCCCTTCCAGGACCCAGTCTGGATAGGACAGGATTGGTCAGGGCCTCACCCTCTCCAGGACCCGGTCTGGATAGGGCAGGATTCAGACAGGGCCTCACGGACAGTAGGGATTCCCACGCTCTAGCCACCACCTTCCTGCCCCCAGGCCACGGTTCTCTGTGACCTGTTGCTGCTCCACATCCTGCCCAAGAGGCACTACTACAAGCAGAAGAAGTTCAAGTACGCGGAGGACATGGGGCCAGAGGCGGTAAGAGATGCCTCCCCTCCCCCCGAGTCAGGCCCTTCAGAGGCCTCGGCCCCTAAGTCTGCGGGGGGGGGGGGGGGAGGCAGCCGCTCTCCTGAGGCTGACTTTCACCCCCCTCCCCCCCATTGCTCACACAGCGGGAGCGGGACCCCGCGGCCACCAGCTCCACCCTGGGCCTGCAGGAGAACATGAGGACGTCCTGACCTCGGCCCCGCTCCTGACTGACACAGCCTAAGGCTTCAGGGGGGCCATGGTGGGGTCCCAGCCAGGGTAGAGGGGTCTCCCCTGCCCTCCCAGCCAGAAAGACACCCGTGTGCCGGCAGCTCAGGGTGGACCCCAGAAGAGACCTGCGCAGCTCTGAGCTCTGGCTCCACCCCTGCACCCCACCCAGCCCCAGCCTCTCCGGGCGCAGAGGGGGTGTGGGCGCTGGGTGGCCCTCGCACACTTCCCAGCTGGAGCTTCGTGCTTCCCTCTCTGGGTCCACATTCCCCTCTCTAGGCCTGTGCTCTCCCGTATGACACACACTAGCCACGGTGACTATTGAAATTTAAATTAATGAACATGGAATCAAATAAAGAGCAGTTCCTCAGACCAGCCACATTATAACCATCAAGGAGACCCGGGCTGTGGCTGCTGAGTGAGACAGTACAGACATTTCAGCACCACAGAGAGTTCTCTGGGACTGCCTGGTTTTCGGTGAGGAGCTTAGCCATCTTGCAGGCTCCTGGGCCATCCCAGAGCCCCCCGCACCAGTATCTCCAAGGCGAGCAAACTCCCCAGGCCATTTTATTAAGGACCTTCACTTAAAAGATTCCTGATCAAGCATCAGACGTAGCCTGGGCCCGCATCACCTGGCAGGTACCGGTAGCGAGCAGGTGTGTGGTGTGCTCACAAGCCCCCAGTGCGCCGTGCACATGCCTCCATGTGCACACTCACCTGGATGCACACCCCCTTCTACCCACACTCTGTATTGCAACAGCTTGGGCCTTGCAAACACAACCATCTGATCACACCCACATCCCCAGGCACAGACACCTGGTCCATACTGTGTCCCCTCCGTCCCACGCGTGTCAGGCCAGGACAGCCCTTCAGCCATGAACCCTTACTCAGCTACCTCTGGCCCGGTGGGAGCCTTGGCCAAACTCTGGGCTCCCTGCCCGTGGCCCAGCCCCAGCCCCCAGGGCCTGCCCGGCTCTGTCTGAAAGCGCGGGTGAGTACAATAAAAGGAATGAGGACGGACCTCTGCCTCTGTACTTTCTTCTCAGCCCTCTCTGAAACCATCTGTGCCTTGTGGGTGGAGCTGGGTGACCTCTGAGGTCCTTCTGGGTCTGTCGGTGGGCAGTGGTGAGCTGATGCTTTGCCCTGAAACCAGCAGGGTCAGTGCTGGGGGTTAGCTCCCCCCTGTTCACGGGCCACTGTCCTGGCACAGCCCTGAACGTCAAAGCTCTCCCCAACCCCCCACAAGCCCCTCCCATGCACAGGAGGCCTGGCACTGGGACAAGCAGAGAACCAGGCTCAGGAGGGGCCTCATGAAAGCAGAGGTGAGGAGGGGGCTGGCTGCCCCAGGAGGGAGGGCTGCGGGAACCCCAACGAGGGGAGGAAGGTCATGAGTGAAGGTCATGAGTGTGGAAGGATTCTCCAGGGCCCTGCTGTGGGCATGGCCACTAGTCTGAACTTAGAACCACGCAGGGTCTCTGGGAACCCCATCACCATGCTTTGTCTAGATCCGTGCCGTCCAACAGGCCAATCTAGTGGTCACAACCCATGTGGCCATTGAGGACTTAAAATGTGGCCAGTGCAACCAAGGAACGGAATGGTTTATTTTATCCACTTTTAATGAATTGAAATCACCACACATGGCTAGTGGCTACCACATTGGACAGTCTAGCTGATTGGCCTTCTGCTCTCTTCCCCAGCCAGGGACCACGCGTCAGATTTTGTAACACAGGAACTCACTCTTCTTTCCTCTCTTCCTTCTCCAGCCCTCCCTGCTTCTGCACCTCCTGCCCCCTTCCCTCCCAGACGAGTAGAGGATTCCAACTTTGTACCCAACCCAATCCAGAGACCTCCCAGCAGAGGCCCCCTCTCCCCTCTCATTCCTGCACTTGCTCCCCTCTTGTGCCTCCTCCCTCCCATGGCCCATGTTCCCCTGCAGCTAGCTCCGCCTGCCCCTTCACTGCTACCTTTCCAGAAAGACCAGTTTCCCCTGTCCCACCCTCCGAAGAAGTTGGCCTCAGGTCCCCGCCCCCACTTCTCCAAGATGCCCTTGCCAAGTTACCAGCAGCACCTTTGTTGCCAAATCCAAGTCAACACTTAGCTGTCTCCTGCAAGGCCTGTCTGCCTCTGATACTGTTGAGCAAGTCCTCCTTTATCGAAAAATTTCCTTCCAACAGCTCCTAGGACTCACCCTCTCCTGACTTTCCAGTAAGCTTGGTGTGCAGGGTAAGTATAGGTTTCAACTGCAGCTCTGGCCTGGGTCACTGTGTGCCCTTGGGCAGGTTGCTTAACACTCTGAGCCTCCTCTGCGTGTGTGTCAGGGACAATAATAGCCCTTACTCAGGTTGGGATAAGATAAGATGTGAACGTGCCTAGCACAGAGCCTGGCACACAGTAATGCCCTATCTTCTCTTTCAATAGTGGAATCGCCTAGTTGTCCCCAGATATCTGTTCTCTCTACAGTGATACAGCACAGATCTGGAGATTATGTGGCTGCCTAGAATGAAAGCTGCATTTCCCAACCTCCTCTTGCAGCTGGGTCTGGTCATGTAACTAAGTTTCAGCTAATGAAATAAATGTGAAAGTGTCAAGTGACACCTTCTGGGAACTTTTCTGAAAAGCAGCTGGTGCAAACCCTTTACCCTCTTCTTCCTCATCCTTGTCTTCATCCCACTGCCTGGAATGTACGTGTGATGGCTGGAGCTCTAACCACCATCCTGAGCCATGAAGACGAGTGTCATGCCCAGAGGTTGCTGGAGTAGTGAGTGGAAGGAGCCACGTCTGTAAGCCTGTGGAGCACATTTGACTTACCAGCTCAGGACTGTCTTCCCTGAGGTTCTTCTGTGGGATGTTTGTTCCCTAAGTCAAAACTCGTTCAGAAATCTTTCCTCCTTCAAAGTGAATGTTCTGGCCCTCGCTGGTTTGGCTCAGTGGATAGAAAGTCAGCCTGCGGACTGATGGGTCCCAGGTTTGATTCCGGCCAAGGGTACATGGCTGGGCTGCAGGGCTTGATCCCCAGTAGATGGCATGCACGAGGCAGCTGATCAGTGATTCCCATCGCTGATGTTTCTATCTCTCCCTCTCCCTTCCTCTCTGAAATAATATATATATATATATATATTGAATATTCTGTCCTTGGACCCTGCTTTATTTGCTCTGCGTTATCTCACCTTTTCCCATTGCTCTACTTACAGCTATGGATCCTTTTGGACAACTTCCAAAACTGTCTGCTGGCCCAACCCTCTTTCCTGAACTTCAAACCCACACATCCCTCCCCCTAATTATCATACCTAATTAGTTATTCACTTAACAAACATCTTTTGAGTGCTGCCTGAATCAGGCACAGCCCCCCCTCCCCCCCATGAAGCTCCCAGTCCAAATGGGGAACAGGCAGATAAACAGATGCTCATACAAGGAAGTCCCTCGCAGGGGCTGGTAACCCACACTGGGCCCTGGGCGGTGAGGAGGTCAGAGGGAAGGGTTCCGGATAGAGGGGTATTGAAATGAGGTAGGCAGATGGTTAGGACAGGTCATGGAGCGCTTGGTTGAACCTATTGGGATATTGGTGAGCCATGGACAATTCCTAAGCGGGAGCTGACGAGCTGGATTTGTGTTTCTGAGAGGTCTCTGGCTGCCAGGTAGAGAAAGGCTCCTGGGATGGGGCAGTAAGACTGGACGGGGGTGGGAGGCTAATGAGGATGCTGCTTGCAGCAATCCAGGTAGATGCAGAGTGATGGTGACCTGAGCTGAGGGAGGGGCAGAGAGGTGGGGAGAAGTGGCTAGGTTCCAGGGCCACTTAAGAGGCAGCATGGGCAGGGCTTGGCGATGGACTGGTTGGGTGGGAAAGGGGTAAGCCCTACAGCGACTCCCAAGTTTCTGGCTCCCAGATGGAAACAGAAATTCAAGAAGAAGCCAGGATTGGGGGAGATACGGGGCTGTGTCTTGGACAAAGTGGCAAGGTGAGGTGCCAGAGGATTCACATTTGGAGAACAGCATAACCGATCCAAGAGCTGGTGAGTTCGCCAGGGGAGAGTCTCCAGAAACAGCAGTCTTGAGGCTCAGGCTTCCTGGAGAGTCCCCTCCATCCCCTTCTGGCCCAGCGAAGCCGGTCCTGCCGGCTGCTCGGAGCCCTTCTCCAAATACGACATTGCTTCCGTGTCCCTGACGCACCCAGCAGATGGCTAACCCTTGGGCTGCCATTCAAGGCCTTTCTCCCCGGCTGTCAACCTCGACCCGGGTTCTGGTCGCCCGCCTCTCCCGGTCCCTCCCCTAGTGCGCACCTCGCTTCAGCCCCGCGCCCCCGGGAGGGAGGGGCGCTCGTGCCCAGGCCAGGTCGAAACTGCAGGGGACAAAGGGCTTTCTGGGGGAAGCACCGGCCCCCGATAGGAAGCCCAGGCCGCGGGCTGGAAGGATTTGGGGGGGACTCCAGCCAGACTGCTTCGGGGCGCCGGGGGCGTCGAAGGCTCGACCCCGCTGCAGGGGGAAAAGGCCCCTCGGGAGCCGCCGGCCCGCCGCGGCCCCGCCCCTCCAGGAGCAGGGCGGGAATCCCGGGCTCTGATTGGGCGGCGCCGGGGAGGCCGCGCGGCCTGGCCAATGAGCGTGGGTCCGGTGCGGCGGTGGGCGGGGCAGCGAGCGCCGCCCGGAGCCGCGGCGCCGGCGGTCTGAGCTGGGCGATCCCGGCCCCGGCGTGGCGGGCAGGGCGGGGCGCGCGCGGCGGGAGCGAGCCTGGCCTCCCCCCGGGCCGCGGAGACCGTCGCCCGGCGGCACCGAGGTAGGAGTCTGCCGGGAGGGGACCTGGATCGGGGAGCGGGCGGGGAGGGAAGCCCGGACGTCTGCTGGAAGCCTACACGGGAGGGGGGGGGAGGTGTCTGCGAGGCCGGGTCTAGGAGGGCAGCCGGGTCCTCTACCCTGCGGGGTCCCCCCCCCCCCTTCTATCTGCGGGGCCGGCCGGGGCTGCGCGGTGTCCCCCAGAACCTGCTTCTCTGGC